CTCTTTGGAAGCGAATTTTAGAGAAGGCCAACTAGTAAGCCAGATCAAGTGTGGACAATTAATTTTCTCAAGGGTTCACATGAGAAACTGGGACAATTGTGGAGGGCAGAACCAAAAGGGCTGTAAAGGTGCATAGGGATGCCTGCATATAAGCACATACGTAAATTGAAAAAAAAGCAATCATCTTCAAAAACCAATGCAATTGTGTGCATGGCATACACTTATTTACATTTAACTTCTAATTTCTGATTGAACTCATGCAAGCTGGACAGGGATACCCAAATATGTGGTCTGTGGACCATAAAATGCCCTGGTCTGAGCCAGACTGTAACTAATCAATATGCTGATGCAGGAATGGCCCGCAGTGATTTATCAAGTAGTTTACTTTTTATGAGAGTTGAATGTCTCCATTTCAATAATTTTAGTTTTAAAAGGATTAGGGTTTCTATTATTTATTTAATAAATGAAACAAAATAATTTTTGAAGGGAGCTCTTTTTTCCCTTCTGCATTAACTCCATATAACCATTTCATATATATATTCAAGATAAGAAAACTTTTTTAAGCTATCACAAATAACTCCACACTTTGTTTCTTCAATCGGTTCCTGACAGTCATTTCTACCTTTTCATTTGAGTCAGATGCCAACGGAGGTATTCCTTATATAATGGGAAAAGGTGAAAATTGCATGGCACCAAGTGAATGGGATAAGATGGTGAATAGGATAAGATGATGAAATCCAATGTAATTTCATTTTTATACTTCTGTTTTTACTTGTTTCAGATTTTGAGGTTTGCAATGTAGCAATGAGTTGTTAGTGGTGTCAAGTTCAATAAAATCTATTAACACCATCTGCATCACCAAAAATTGTAATCATGAATTTTCCAACCAAAGCATAGTTTTTTTATTTTTATTTTTGCAGTGAAGCTTTGTGATGATATTCTTTTGCTTTTGAATCATAATGATGGACCCATGGCTTGTTGGTTGCTATGATGCTTTGAAGAAATTTCTTGCTTTTCTTCTCATAGTATGACAACAATTGCTGGCAAATTTCAATTCTTAAAGTTTTCACCTCTACCATCAGCATGCAAGGAACCTATCTCCCAATACTGAAGGACTCAATAATGTGACTCATATTCCTGAGAAATTCCAAGCTTGACAGCAATTTCCTTTTAGCTCTTCTTTATCAGTTCATCAATCTTTCTCATTTGAAACTTGGTGGTTGCTGTAACCATGAGTTCACTTGGTCTTTATTCACACAAATCAGCTCTTTCCAGCTTGGCCCAAATATTAGTAATCACATAAACACAGTCATCACCATAAACTACCTGAATTCAATTGTGAATTAAACTGGCAGGATTCCTTGAGCAATTAAAATTTCCATCTCATAGTGGATTGCTTAAAGCATATTGAGGAATACTCATTACAAGCTTTCATTTCATGAACAATAGCAACACAAGCTTTCCCAACAACTCTTCAAGTGAAAGAAAGTGAGAGCTTCCGGTGAATTAGTGCTGCCATCTGTTGGTCACATACAACATTGGAGACACTGCTTTTCATTCAATCCTGGTACAATTTTTGTTACTAATCTAGTTGAAGGGAAATAATTGCTGGGTTAAAAAAAAAAATACAAATGATATGCTGATGTGTAGGCTCATCTTGCTTACAAATTATGGTTCCAAGCCCAATCGTGATTGATAACCTTTTCCTATAAATTAGGTAGAGATATTTGACCATCAGATTCCTGTCAAATCTTTCTAAGATTTTTGAATTCAGAGTTTGAATACAATACAATGAAAACATTGGTACTGATGCTCAGTATTCTAACCTGGAGTTTTCTTTGTAAAAACATCCTGATAATGCCATTTTATTTTCAGTAGTAAAAGTGAAATGAACACTTGATTTAATGGCACTGGGTTTAGGAGGTTTTGGGAGCAGTAGTCAATTTTTCATTGGACATCACCCACAAACTTAACAAAGCTTGTTTATGAAGCAAACTGGGCAAGTGATGTAATTTTATATCATTTGTGTCAATTTGTATAGTTAGACAATTGATATCTATTTGTATCTGTCATTTGTGTCAGTTTACAACATTTAATTTACAGAGATTATAAAGATAAAGGTAAAGATTTCTCCTTTTCAGTTGTGTCCAACTCTAGGGCGCCGGTGCTTATCTGTTTCTTAGCCAAAGGAGCCAGCATTGTCCAAAGACACATTCCAATTGAAGTTTTTACCTATTTATCTACTTGCATTTACATGCTTTTGAACTGCTAGGTTGGCAGGAGCTGGGGTAAGTAATGGGCCTTCACCCCATCATGTGGCGCTTGGGTCTCAAACTTGGGCTGTCAGCTTTCCAGCTGACAAATTCAGCGCCTTTAACCGCTAAGCCATCATGCCCCTCCACAGAGATATAAAAAATCAAGTATGAAATTACACAAGTAATGGAATTTTGGATTCCTAACATGGACTGTTAAATTGAGGTTTTTCTGTATAAACATTAACTGAGTTTGTCTCCTCTTTTTGGTTAGAGTTAAGGAAGGTACAGTATATTTTGTAAAGCACAAAATATCCAAGTTGCTTCTGGTTTGGCCCCCAAATGTATTACAATGAGAGGAAAAATGTAATATCATGTTCAATAATGTTTTTCAAAACTTATTTAACTGTAAATATTAAACAACTATATGAAATATAGTTAAGTTTATGAATATGGTTAGATTTTATGAGATTTGGAATATAATAGAAATGGTGTAATTGTAGGGGATTACACTCTGGAAGAGAATGGGTACCACAGAATTCAGTCCTGCTGCTGGGAAGCATCATTTATCCATTTGGATAGATTTCATAGCACATTGCAGACACACAGCTGTACCTCAGGATAAGACAGACTGGATAAGTATTCTGCTTTAACCTGCTGTCTGGAGGTTGCCAGGGCAGAAAAATTATTTTGTCATTGTTGCTATTTCTTTTGGTGGACATAATCATTGGACATAATATGTTATAGAAGTCAGCATGAATTAAAATCAAAATATACTGTTAAAATATTTGATGATATCTGATTACATTCTACCACTAATAGAATAGTTTTTATAAAGTGAATGGGAAAGCTCCAAATATTTGCACTTAGAATAAAAGGTGACTTATAAAATTTCCCAACATAATTACTGTGTTGCACACAGGCTAAACTACAATGTAGTTAATTGCTGCTCAGTGTGTTAAGCAAAGCCAGGAAGAACAGTTATTTTTGGATCAATTTGTGTGTCAATACTTGGGAGTTAATCCAGTAAACAATGGTTTAATAAATTATGGATTAAGCTGCAATACATGTATGTTGGAAACAAGTGCAGTTTTCTTTCAGGAATAGTTTAATTAGATATCCATTTATTTAAATATTAAATGAATAAACTGATTTAATTGGCTGAGATTTATTTAATCTAAATAAACCTCAACAGTGTTATTACATCCATAGCTGAATGGGTCTTGGGTTTGCAATTCCATTTTGTTCCTCTGGTTTTGTCACCCACTGTTGCATTCACCCACTGTTTATTGGTTCTTCCAGATTAATACAATTAATCATGAAGAACAGTAGGATTAAAATAAAAAGCTAATATGCGCCTGAATTTTCATTTAGTGCCATACAAGCAGAATCACTCACTGTTTTTCTCTGTGTTTTTCAGTCACATTTCTCTACAATGTGTCATCTAACTCACAGGAATTTAAAGTTCTTTGTGTTATTCTAAATCAAATTATGGTTTGTGCTGGTGAATAGCTTGTCCATTTAGTTCAAAACTCAGTGGCTGCTTCATTCCACATGCTAAGCCATGGGATCTTAATCATGATTTATTGATCAACATGTATATGGTTGGTTGGTTCAACATGAAAGTTATCCCATAATTTACACAGTATGATAACTCACAAGCTAACAATACCCAGTTAGCAACTAGAAAAATGGTCCACTGAGATGATATGAAGGTGAACATTTCAGCCATTATTTTCCTACTTCAGGAAACAAATTGCTACATTGGCTTGAAATGCCATGCTAGCATTAGCAAGGCAGCAATATTGCTTGTATTTAAGAATACTGAGATAGCTTACTAGGAAAGTTCTGCTATGCCAGCAGAACTCGGAAAACTGATTTGAACAAACCAAAAACCACACTTTTATTAGGATCCATTTCTCTATTTACATTTGTTACATACTTCACAATTTTTTTTCCCTAGGGTCGGTACATACACTTGAATTGCAACCAGAGAATAATAGTGACCGAGACTTTGCTTTCAAATTACAGCACTGTAAATTGGCCTTGACAATACACTGACAGGTGCTTTTATCTCATAAAACGGTCACTTGACTCCCCATCGATATTTGGGTGGTCGCACGTAGGCCCGGCTCAATTTTGTGACTAGTTCCTTTCAAAGGCAGGTAGCCCCATCTGGTTGCCAGAAACAGGGAAGGGACAGAAGAAAAGATGCTCATCGTAAGGACCGTTTTGCATGTCTAGCCGCCACAACTGGCACTTCAGGATACTTATACAACACAATGGAATCGGAGAACCCCGTAATATTTGGTCGGGAGTAAGCGAAGAAGCGCTTTTCGGAATAAGGGGACCCGTTTCCCTCCCAGGATCCGCGCCCATTCATTCTCAAGCAGTGAACTCGGCTGGCACGCGCGCGAACTCGCGCCGAAGGCAAAAGGCAGCCTTGCTCACCTAGCAACGACAGAACCTTGAGCTCCCGCAGTGACGCTCAATCCGATCCAAGGGAACGTTGAGGGAGCCGCCCAATAGGAAGGACGACTTAAAGCGCGTGCGAGACAGCTGAGCCAAAAAAAAAAAAAACGGGGCGGAGAGGCTAAACGGGGAGGCAGGACGTCGTTCAAAGGCGCCGCCAATCTTCAATCAGGTAAGGGAGGAGATTGAAGGACTGCCGCATCAGCGAATGGGAGCCCAGGGATGGCAAGGGAGGCGGGGTTTTCCGGACGCTCCTCCCTCCTCCCCTCTTCCAAGCTTGCCCGGTCAATCAGGTGGCTTAAGGGATGTGCGGTCGGCGGCGCCGGCGGAGCGCGATGTGGCTGTGGAGGGGCTGCTGGGCGGCGTCTCTTCTCGGCGGAGGGCTGTGGCGCGGCTGCGGCCTCGGCGTTCCCTCCAGCGTCGATCGGGAGCCGGCAGCCGCATGAGCTATAGGCAGCTTTCCCCGCGGGCAGCCCTGCCCCCTAATGGAGGAGCCCTTCCGTCCTCCTCCTCCTCCCCCTCTCCTCCTCCCGCGCAGCCCCCTCCAGCCGCCGCTGCCGGGGGAGGCTGAGGGGGAAGGAGCGGCGGCGGCGGCGGCGAGCCCCGCTTGGGGGAAGGCGGAAGCCGCGGCCTCGGGCGACAGCGCCGACGGGGCAGGCCTCTGGACGGCTGTCTTCGAGTACGAGGCGTGCGGCGAGGACGAGCTGAGCCTGCGTCCGGGCGACGTGGTGCAGGTGCTCTCCAGGGACGCGCTGGTATCCGGCGACGAAGGCTGGTGGACGGGCCAGATCGACCAGCGCGTCGGCATCTTCCCCAGCAACTACGTGACCAGCAGCGGGGGCAGCAGCAGCGGACGCCGCCTCCGCCTCCAGGAAGGGAGGAGATCGGATCTCCAGGCTGCTAGTCCGGCCATCCAGTGTAAGAAAGGGGGGCTCGGTGTGTGCGTGCAGGGGGGGGGGGGGGGGGGGGGGGGGGGTTCAAGAAAATGCCCCCACTGGTAAACACCGGGGGGGGGGTGGGGGGGGGGGGGGTTCCGGGGGAGGGGCCGGAATTCCCCCCCCCCTCCACCCACCCACATTTTCAGGGCATAAACCCATACAGACGACCACTGGGAATATCTCCCACCCCCCCACCCCTTGCCGGTCAGAGCTACGACCCAGGGGAGGCTGGGTTTGCCTTGTGCTGAAGAAGTTTGCGGGATGATGGTCGTGCGTGTAGGCTTGCATGCTTGTCACTTCGATAGGAACGGGACACGCTTGACCCGTGTCTTTGAAACTTCGTCCAGGGGATGGCACTTCTCCCATCTTAATGAGACTGCAATAGACGCGATCTTGCTTACGTTTTGCAGAAGACAATCAAGATACTTCCGGAGGGATCTAAGGAAGGGGTGTGGCTATGTTGTATCCCATCGATGTTTATCGCCTCCCTTCCCCCCCCACCCCCATCTCTTACGCTCTTTCTTGATCCCAGCGCCAGTAAACTCGGAGAATTGTATATTCTTCCCCAGCCTCTTGCTCTATAGTTTAGATCAGTGGTCACCAACTGGTGGTCCGTGAGAAAATTTTGGTGGTCCCCAGAAAAATTATCTGCATTTTTTATATTGCACTAAATACTATTTATCTTTTTAAAAATTCATATTAGTGGTCTGCGGGATTTACAATTATGAATTTAGTGGTCCCTGAGGTCCGAAAGGTTGGTGACCCCTGGTTTAGATGAAATAATCCAATGCCCCACTGCTTCAAACTAGGTCATATAAATTCAGCCTAATTACGTTTTCCTGTGTAACTTGCATCTCTGAAAACTGTGCACATAAGAATAACAGCCAGTGTTGCTGAGTGTCAAGGGGTATATTAGTTTAATAAAGAATGATAACAGTGTAGGAGTGTATGTCAGGAGAGAAACATTTTTCAGCAGTGTACTTTTAATTGTTAAATGGGTTGTTTTTTTTGAAGGGACCTTGGTACTCTCTTAAACTTGGTTGTTTTCTTGCATATGTTTCATTACCCAAACCTAGGTAACATCATCAGTGCTCTTATAGGTCATTGTTTTCCTTCTTTGTAACTTCCATGCTCTTTATGCCCAATATGTTTTCCTTAAATCTCAGTAGTAACCTAGTTCAGTTCCATGTGCTTTTTAGTGGCTGTTTAATAAAGGTAATTTGTTTTAAAGTCATCATGAAAGGTGTAATCTCAATTTTAGTACAAACTAGCAAGATGATTTTCCTGTGTTCATTAATTTGATTCATTGAGGACATTTCAGCAGTTCAAACTACAAAGATATAAAGCTTCCTGTGTTTGAGTGGCTTGTCCCAACTGTCAAAGCTTCTGTGATTTCCCTTTCTTTTTCCTGTGATCTTACTGCCTCAACACATGAACAGTTCAGTTTTTTGCTGGCTCTGCTTAGAAACTTCAGAAGAAGACATTTATGTTTTTCATCAAGATTTTTGTTCTAAGATGTTTTCTGTCAGGTTACTTTTGTAGCATTTCCTTGTAAACAAGTGGCCACAACTGAAATGTGTTAACACTGCAAAATTCAGTACAAAGAGTTAGCTTGTCTTGCATGGAATAGTCAATATTTTTGGATTACTGTTATACTTTATTGCCAAAATCAAGATATTTGAAAGAGAATGTTAGACCTGGTATTTTTCTTTCCTTTTCAAATTCTAATTTTGCAAATCATTTCATCCTTACAGCTTAAACATTTGCAAGAGAAAATAGAAATTTAAAATACAATATATGGGAAACTTATATCCACCTTAAAAGGAAATAGTAAATAATCTGAAACAGGAAACTATAGTAATTTTGATACTGTTTCCTCATTTTGGTTTTGAGATGAATCTTGTCCTAAAGAAAATAGCAATAAACAAATGAAAGTCTTCTTCCCTGTCCCTTTGCCTTTCTGTAGGAAAAAGTCTGCATAGTGTTGCTTTGAGATCATTTAGTAGTAGCATTTTAATTGGCAATGTGTTAGGGAAAAAGTAGAATCTCATATGCAGCATTTTCAATGATACTAAGCTATCTGTTTTCAGTTATAGCTATTCAGTTCTTACACATGTAAAACTGACCTGGCTGCAACTGACAGAAGTTAAGTTACAGGATTTTTATTTACAAAGCATCCACCTCACATAGATGACTTTGCATGGCTTACAATAAAATAGATAAAAACAATAAAATGCATAATATAAAAAAATAGAAGCTAAGTTTCATAAATAATGTCCCATATGTCCCTTTTTAGGTTATATTTAAACAATATTTCTACACTGTCTGATGCAGTATAATCTTGTTGTTCTTTTCATACACAAATACAGTCAAAAGTCTACTCACAAATAGGTATTTGGTGGCCAACTCTTTGTTATTATGCAAGGAAGTTATTGAAGTTTAAATCTCTAACCTAGTAATATAATCAACCGAAAACACAGTCAAATAATCAAAGCTGGAGAATTTAGTTTAGCCATATAGAGATGATTTGGTATAAAGCCAGTTTTAGATTAAATGTTTATGTAATTGCACTGAGAAGCCTTTGTTATTTATTCTTTTGCAAAGGTTTATTCTTTATATTGCCTTTTTTAAAACCAATATTGTATAGCTGAGACCACTATGGTACTGAAAGTAAAATCTGTATGTTCTCAAATGTACATCTCTCTCTCTCTCTCTCTCTGTGTGTGTGTGTGTGTGTGTGTGTGTGTGTGTGTGTGTGTCTGTCTCTCTCTCTCTTTCTCTGTATATAAGTATATACATGCCCACACACATACATGGTCTAAACAGAATTAAATTTGATAAATGATAAAACATCTTCATGACTTATATCGAATAAAATTTAAAGACTAAACTTTGAATTTACCTGCTTTTTGTTACATGAAACTATTTGTAAGGGAAATAGCTCTTCTCTTAACCTTTTTTTAAAAAATCCTGTATAATTTATAAATTATGGTAATCATTAAAAGTGTTTTTAGTCTACAAAAAGCATATGCTTCAAACTGCTGTTGAGAATTCTAGCTAACGTTTTGTTATCACCAAAGGAGCTGTCCATTCAGCACCATTAATTCAGAATCTCAATTTTCTGTTCATAAAATTTAAGTATCCTTATGCCCTATGATACAGTACTAAAAACAACAGTAAATGAAATGAAAAAATGAAATGAAATGAAAAAATTCACTCCTTTTAATCACTTAATCAAGAATATGCAGGAAATTTGAGCATGCTTAAGCTCTTTAAATAGGGAATTCAGAACTATGACTTCTGCTGTTTCTTTTTTCGACTTTAAATTAACCTTAAAGATCGTAACTTACTATTTCAGTTGCTAAAGATGCTTCTTAGTTCAATGTTTTTTAACATTAAATTCCCATATGACTAATTAGACTTCTAATGTTTTTCAGAATCCTATTTTTTGCTTTCATTCATTGATATTTCAATAGTGATAGGTCTTCATTAGATAGACTGCATGTATTATAGTAACTAATATGCTGCCCTTCTTTTTTTAAGAGCTATTTTAATTCTGGGGGTTAATATTAATACAACCAGCATATTTCTTGACTGCTGCTTCCTTTATTGTAGATAGATGATTCTAAAGACAGAAGCTACCTATCGCTTTTATATCTTCATTGTCAGTTGTAAGTGAATTTGTCTAATTCTCTTTTAAATTTAGCTAAATCATTCTCTGTCCTCAGAAAATTGGTGGTCATGCTGCTTATCCAAGAATTCAGATTGGGGTGAATAAGATGAGTGTTTTTGGCTTTCAAAGGTGGAATTTTTACCTCTTGTCATTGTAACAACAGTTCAGTAAAAGTTATTGGGAAAATTATTGGCCAATTTTCCCAGTATTTCATTGTCAAGGATATGATATAAGGCTTGTACATTAATCATCTTAAATTGCATCCTAAATTATTTTTACTTTTCAAAATTGATCTTTTGCTTAAAATTGGTATTTTTCAGTTCCAGCATGTCAATATAAAAGGAAACTTGCTTCTCAGCGGCTATTTTTTATGTTATTTATGTTTATATTTAATAACAGTATTTTTATTCTGTTTTTATCCTGTTTTAATAGTTGGTCCCCCAAAGTCCTGTATATAAGATGGAGCTATTAAATAAATAAATAAATAAATAAATAAATAAATAAATAAATAAATAAATAAATAAATAAATGTACCTGTTTTTAGACTTCCTTGGAATTATTTGGAGCATAATTTGAACAGCAGTCTATAGTCTTTATTATTTGCATGTTTATAAAATCCCTATGGAAAATCAAGGATATTTTCTTCTTGTGGTGGAATTACAGTATTAATTGTAGGAATTATCAGCCAGAAAAGTAGAACAACATACAAATATTATAATGCTATATCTCAAAACAAATGATGCCATAAGACATCTTTCTTATCACCAGTATGATGAACTTGCCCTTCCTGATGTTCACACGTGTATTGCATGGAAAACTGAGCTCTCAGTTAGCAAGCTTCTTCATTTCAACTTCATTGTCATCAGCATCCAATCATGCATCCCATCTTACATGGCATAGCCTATCCTGGTGACTTTAACATATGAGTAAATTTGTGCAGAGAAAAATTCAGGTATCCAAGCATCAACTAAACTATTTAGATTTTGAAGGTAAGAAGTGGCCCTTTGAATTTAGATTGCAAATGAACTGAAAACCAACGCAGCTGATATGAGACTGTTGTGTTATGGCTTCTATCCAGAGGTGTGCTGAAGTTTGCAAAGGATGTACTCATAAGTTGTATAACCCAGACATGCAACTGTGGCTTTAAAATGTAAGCTGCCCTGAGCCTTTGTAATAGGGAAAAGTAAAATATAAATAGACCGTTCTTAATACTGTTCCTTTACCTAATACTCCTTCCTCCTCCAATTTCTCCACAAAACACTCCTGTGAGGTAGGTTGACATAAGAAAGAGTGGCTGGCTCATCTTAAAGCTTTTAAAAAGTGTTTCATATTTCAATATGCTTCTTATATTGAAAGAGTAATAGTGAACTTTGATTATCTCTTTTAATTCAACAATTACTCTATGACACTGTTAACAGAAAACTTAATAGTGGCATACAGTATATTGTTGTGTTAGCATAATTATTTAGGCTGAATGAAATACACATAAAGAATGAGTGTGAAATATGTTTCACATCAGTATTTCTTATTTCAGAAAGTTTTCAGTGCAAAGTTGGAATATATGATCAGTAGGAAAGGAAAAGTCCTGTTCTTTCCTGAAAATTGATCTTTTTTGTAGAATAGCTTATAACAGAAAACATGTTTATAGAAGGTAGATTTAATTTAAAAAATGTTTTAAGGTAACAATTAAAAAAGAACCTAGCTATAAGGTATATTTGTAAATGTAAGAGTAACTTTTTATTAAGGTATATCAGCATATGTTAATTGCAGAGTGAGGAGCGGAAAGATAACTGACCTGATCAGTTCTTCAGGTGGTGTAAAAGTGCAGCCAAGAATGTGCTCCTCCCTCTCTCTCATTTAAAGCATCCTTCAAAATCAAAGAAATTAAGTAATAGAGAATTTGGAAAGATGAAATACATCCGGAAAAGAAGAAGAGTCTATGATGAATATAAATGCAAAGGTTGGAAGGAGAACTCAAAGGTGCTTTTTCAAAAGGCAACTGGACTTTCTTTGTTTTTGCTTGAAGATGTTTTGCTTCTCATCCAAGAAACTTCTTCAGTTCTGAATGAATGGTGAAGAATGGGAGGATTTATATTCCTTTCGGTCATCTGGTTGCTAGCACAGTTTGTGAGAGTTGTTGAGGCTACTTGGAGGTTTATCTGTGCCCTCAGATAGTGCAAATGGGTATGCATTGTCTTGGAACTGCTGAAAGAGCTGTGTTGGTCTGGAAAAGGTTAGCCATCACTGGTATAAGCAATTGGTTCTTAATGCATAATCCAGTTTTCCCTAACTTGTTTTCCCTAGTTGGGTGGATTTCAATGCCCAGAATTCTACAACCTGCATTGTCATTACTGAAAAGTCTACGATTGAAGCCATAGAGCTTAAGGCACTAACTAAAGATCCGGAAGTTTGGCAATAATGCATCTACCCTTTAAAACGAAATGTTTACCCATAATAAAATCTTCATTCTTCAGGCACAATATTGCAGTCTTATTAGAACGTGATGATATAAAACATCTTCCTGGGAAGTAATTTAAATTGTGATTTTTAATGATTAAAATATATTTTTCTGAACAGTGATTCAGTTATATTTGATTTAAATTAAATCTGTCATTTTAGACACAATCACAATATTGATTTAATATATTTTTTTCTAAGTATTTCTAGCAGGGGTAAGGGTTCAAAATGAGCTGACTCATATTTCCGCTAGGTAAGTATTTCAGCAGTCCCTTGTCTTAAAAAGTCAAGGTTAAATCATGTCAGTAAATGAATGAGGCTGATAGCAATTTTCATTTTGTATCCTAGTGCTGGAAATTGACTTCTCGGAGCTTATTCTGGAGGAAATTATTGGCATAGGAGGTTTTGGGAAAGTTTACCGTGCAATTTGGTTTGGAGAGGAAGTTGCTGTCAAAGCAGCTCGCTATGATCCAGATGAAGACCTCAGTGAAGCCATTGAGAACGTCCATCAAGAAGCCAAGCTCTTTGCTATGCTAAAACATCCCAACATAATTGCCCTTAGAGGTGTATGTCTAAAGGAACCAAACCTTTGCCTGATTATGGAGTTTGCCCGTGGAGGCTCATTAAATAGAGTGCTGTCTGGTAAAAGGATTCCACCAGACATTCTGGTTAACTGGGCTGTCCAGATTGCTGAAGGAATGAACTATCTGCATGAGGAAGCAATTGTTCCTATTATCCACCGGGATCTGAAGTCCAGCAATAGTAAGTGGAAATATGGAATGAAATGCCAGTAGCTTTCAAGAATATTTTATTTTTTTATTTATTTTATTTTAAATTTATATACCGCCTTTCTCCCTGAGGACTCAGGGCGGTGTACAGCCAGAATTAAAAAACATGGAATACAAATATTAAAAACAATTAAAATATATATAAATTTGGCCCAAAATTAAAAATACAAACCAATTAAATATTGGGCATAAAATAGTATTTAAAAGTTGTGAGATCACTTATGTCATCACCAGATGGATAGCACTTGAAGAAATGTTAGAAAACAAATTTCCAGGCCTACAAACCTGGGTATAGAAATGATGAATAGAGAAAAGCCACTCTAAGGAACTGATTTAACAGAATAGAAATAAAAGAAATCCAGAACACCCTCTGTTTTTTTCAGTTTAACATTTCTGCTAACTATTCCTCCTCTGTCTTGAAATTTTTCTGACTGAACTATTTCCTGTTGCTTTTGTTTCCCAAATTTATCAAGTTGTTTGTAACACGAAGGGAAACCTTTAGTGCTTAAGATAGACTAGAGGAAAATGAATTGTTCTTCCTTACTTGGATGTTATTGATAATGTTTATTTATTTGTGTGTGTGTGTATATATATATATATATATATATATATATATATATATATATATATATATATTTCTATACTGCCCTTCTCCCGAAGGACTCAGTGACAAGAGTGATACACAAATGAAGGCAAATATACATGTCCCAGGATAATTATTGCAGGATCCAATCTGAGTCGATCACTGAGACCAGAGGTTTAGTCTTCCAAGCTTTCGCACTCATGCTGGAACCCATCCTCAGGGAACTTCTCTCTAATGGAATGTGACCAACCCAGATTAGATCCTGAAAGAGTAATACAGTTTTTTTGAGTGTCATGTATTTGGTCTATAGTAGTTAGATTTATTTTTAATTTTTATACTTGTAACTTTGCAATCAAAATATTTTTGTAGAGTTGTGATCTTATTAAATTGAAATTCAATACAATTATGGTATGCTGATGATACCCAATTATATCTTAAACTGGAGATATAAATGAGGCCATCAAGGTGCCATCCCAGTGCTTGGAGGCTGACCAGGTTTGGATGAGGGGGCACTGTCTCTGATTTCTCTCCTAGCAAGACTGAATGGTTGTGAGTGTTTGGACACCCAAATTGGGAGGTTGACCTTAGATGAGAAAGTACTTTCCCCTTCAAGATTGCTGGCCCTCATCTTCCTGAATTTACAGCTCTTGCACAAAGAGCAGCTGTCAGCTGTGACCAGTCCAGAAGGCCTTTGCATACCTCCATTTGGTACACCAAATGCAGCCTTTCCTAGATTGGGCAGGGTGGGGGGGCTTTCATATATTCACTCATACCTCAGTTACCTTTTAGCTCAACTACTGCAATGTGCTCAACGTGGGACTGTTCTTGAAGACCACCTGGAAGCATTAACTGCTCCAGAATGTGGCATCATGAGTATAATGAGCACCCCCTCAGTATGCCCATGTACCACCTGTGCTTCACAAGTATGATTGCCAGTTTACTTCCAGGTGCAATTCAACACGCTAGTTGTTTCCTATAAAGCTCTACATGGCTTAGGGCCTGATAACACGAGGGACCATCTGTATCCCATTGCATCCTTCCAGACAATTTCATCCCACAGGGTTGGCATATTTGACTTAAAGTCAAGTTTTGACTTTAAAATGTTACCGATCAGAATCCTGGAACTGCACTTTCTCTGTAGCAACACCTTTTCCCTAAAACAATTTAGTTGGCTGCTCCTCAGTGTGGTTTAAAAAGGCATGAAGTTCTGGCTGACTACTCAGGAGTTTATCAAGAGAGAGTAAGATTCTTTGCTTCATTGTGCTTGGCATTTTTAAAAATGTTTTATTTATTTTATTGCATTTCTTTGCTTGATCATTGTGAGTTGTTCAGAATCATTGAGAGTTGGATGGCATACAAGTGAATAAATTATTATTGTATACCTTCATTTTGTGGTGTTATCAGAAAAAATTACTTCAATACTGGAGGCTAGGCTAATGTTGAATGGCAAGCATGAAAACATAGGAAGCTAAATCCATTGCTCTCATGAGATAATTGTAATTTATGTAGATAAAAGCTAACAGGGTGTCCTTTCAAAAGAAATGAATGCAATATTTTATGAACTTGATTATCAAGTAATGTGATGGAATAAATGTGGGCAGGAGTCTAAAAATAGAAATGGATCTTGAAACTAAATTAATCTTAAACATATTTTAGTATACCAAAAATACTCAGAGGAATTCTAGACCTTTAAAACTTCTTTCATTTATATTAGAATGGGGATAGTTCAGTTTTACCTATTGAGATGGTTCTTGGAAAGTCTAATATCAGGGAGAAAAAAAGTCACCCTTATCCTTATTTTTTAAAAACTTACTACTATTTCACATGTGCAGCAAGTTTGAATTAATCCAATTAACAATCAGGATTTCACACTTAGGAATTTATGACATAAAGCTAAAAATAAAAATTTTGGTCTATCTATAAAACACAAAATATCAGCATATGATAACATCTGGTGTCCTATTTCTAATTATAAAAGCCAGGAGTTCTAAAATCAAAATAAAGAGAAAAGGAGAAAAATGTCACGTTTCATTCATACTTCAACATAAATTTAAAGTGAAATTTCAGTGTTAATAATTACTCATGATTTATAAGATGTATGGATCATATTGATTAAAAATATTTCAATTATATCGAAGGCTTTTTCAGTTTCCAAAGAAATTATAACTGATGAACATAGTTTAAGGATCTGATTGTTTCTATCAGAAACTTAATAGTTCTATAGAAATAATACTCTGTTAATCTATAATCCAGGAAATAGTTGTATAATTAGAACACGCAGTAATCCCTGTTTGATTACTGTGATATTTGCCTAATTAAAACGCAAAAGGCAGGGATTTCTCTAAAACGTTTTGAGCATATACCTGTGCATCCTTTTTCTATCAATTGACTGACACCACCGGGGCTAGATATAAATTGAATTGCAGGAATTGCAGGAATTGTTTAGTTTAGTGGAAAGAAGGACTAGGGGGGTGACATGATAGCAGTGTTTCAATGTTTGAGGGGCTCAAGGAAGATGGGATCAGCCTATTTTCCGAAACACCTGAAGATTGAACAAAAATCAATGGATGTAAACTAATCAAGGAGAGAACCAACTAAGGAGAATAAATAGATTTAGGTAGAAAAATTTGGCTCTGTAGTTGTTGAAAACAAAGCACAATACCTTTTCTTAATGATTTTTCAAAATTATGTGTCTTTAAAGTTAATATTGATAACTACACCTAGCACATAAGGTTGACAACAAGTTTGCAACATTCAATTGCTTTAGTATACATTATATGTTCTTTCATCTCTGCATCAACCTTTTTAGCTAAAACATAGATAGGTATGTTAGCTGGTATTCTGATATTTGGCCCTTAGTTCTGAGTAATCTATTTGCTTATCAGGATCAGCATTGGTTAAATAGCGACCCAGTGAATCTTAACTTTTCTTCCCACCCCCTCACATTATGTTTTAGTATTGATCCTTGAAAAAGTGGAAAACGGAGACCTGAGCAACAAAAATTTGAAGATCACTGATTTTGGCTTGGCCAGAGAATGGCATAAGACTACTAAAATGAGTGCAGCTGGAACATACGCTTGGATGGCTCCTGAAGTTATCCGTTCATCTATGTTCTCTAAAGGCAGTGATGTGTGGAGGTATGTTTAACAACACTAAAACGTTTTTATAAGTGATCACCATCTGTAATATTATATTCTTGCTGCATTGAACCCTCAATTGTTGATTTTACAAACCTTATGTTAATGTTATGTATATCTGGTCTGGATTATGAAATCCGCGTATTCATTTTGCAGACTTTATTCTAAATTTGCATATATGAATTTGGAAATTCTTCAGCTTCTACTTCCTGATGAACATGAACAAACCATCAACAATTGACTGTTCTGTTTTAAATGTTTTAAAGCTTGCAATCAAATTATTGTAGTAAACATGACATTTCCAATTTTCTAAATTATGCTTGGTTTATGTTGTAAAGTGGATTGCTGCATGAAAAAAAGATTTTCTCATTACTTTTAACTGCTTGATCGATTGTAGAGGCACCATCCAGCATGTATCCAAGAACATGCTGTATTCACAGTTCTGCTTTTTTAATGGGATTTTGCCATCTCTGTCTTTAATTAAAACCTGTTAAGCATTCATGAGAAATTTGATCTGGTATGCGTTACTGAAACCAGGCTGGACAACAGGCTGGAAGGTGCTAAACCCGGTTTCTGATACAATGTTAATTATAAGACGGGTGAGGGAGTGACTTCGATCACCTGGGAGACTTGTGGTTCCTATCAATGATGCTTCATTGAAATAAATGGTCAATGGGCCTTAAATTGAGCTAAAATTGTAATGCAACTGGAAAAAAAACCTATATTCCCAGAATTCTTTAGGCTATGAAAAATCTTTAGAATAGCCATAACACTCTCTGTCTTAAATGATCATGTAAAATAATTTCTTCCAGATAAACATATTTTTAAATGTTATATTCATAATGGTGCTAACTGAAAACAATCCCATTCACTTATCCCCAATTAATTTTTTTCTCTGTGTGTATTATCTTAATTGCATAAGAACACTTATTTGTATATATAAGAAAGGAGTGATTCCAGAATGTTGTGTTAAAGAAGGTATACTATAAGTTACTACATTGTTATTAAACCTCTGTTTTGTGTTCATAGTTACGGGGTATTGCTTTGGGAATTACTAACTGGGGAAGTACCATTTCGAGGAATTGATGGCCTAGCAGTAGCTTACGGTGTTGCTATGAATAAACTTTCGCTTCCTATTCCTTCAACGTGCCCAGAACCTTTTGCCAGGCTGATGGAAGGTAAGAATGTATTGGACAAACTGGATCTGTCAAAATGCTTTATCACACAAAGATAGCTCTGAATATCTGCTAATTTTAATAACCAAGACCATAAACCACTTGTGCAGGTACTTGAGAAATAGGGAATAGGTAGTATGTCACTTTGCTTTTCTAGAGGAGTTATGCTTCTGCTTATATCTATGAATATATAATCTAGAATGATATGATAATTCTATATTGTATCATGGTTACGATATAGAATTACTGGTAGTCCTTGACTTACAATTGAGCCCAAACTTTCTGTAGCTAAGGAAGAAAGTGATTGAGTTTTGCCCCATTTTACAACAATTGTTAAGTGAACTGTTAACAGTTGTTAAGTGAAGTGTGTGGTCATTAAGCAAATCTGGCTTCCCCCATTGACTTTCCTTGTTGGAAGCTGTCTTCTTAGAAAGTTACAAATGGTGATTACATGACCCTGGAACATGCCAATTGCCAAAAGTCTGAATTTTGATCACATGACCATGGGGATGCTTGCAACAGTCGTAAGCATGAAAATTGGTCATAAGTCACTTTTTTCAGCTCCATTGTAACATCAAACGATGATTAAACAAATGGTTGCAAGTTGAGGACTACCTGTACTGTATAAATGAGAACCTTGGGTGGGAAGTTATAGCATCCATTAAACACTGTGGTAGAAACCTCTTTGAATTATATTTAATCCATCAGAAGAAATGTTTCAGGGCAGGGGTGAAATGCTCCTGGTTCGGACCGGATCGCCCGATCCTGTAGCGATGGCAGCGGGTGGTTTGGAGTAGCAAAAATCTCTGCCCCCCCCCACCCCATGCCCAGCTGAGCCGCATGATCATCAGAGTCTTTTTTTTTTTTACTTTTAAAAGCATTTTTTCTACAACCTCTTCAGCTGAAAAAATGCTTTTAAAAGTAAAAAAAAAAAGACTCTGATGATCAGGCAACTCAGCTGGGATCATCAGAGGCTTTTAAAAGTTTTTTTTTTTACAACCTCTTCAGCCAAAGAGGTCGTAGAAAAAATGGTTTTAAAAGTAAAAAAAAAAAAAAGTTGGCCATGCCCACTCAGTCACATTACCCCCCACCACCACCAAGCCATGCCCACAGAACCGGTAGTAACAAATTTTACATTTCACCACTGTTTCAGGATATATCATACTTGAAACATTCGGATTTATGAGATTTTCAGCATCAATATTTGTTCTGAATTTGGCAGAAGTGTATCTTTACTTACTAAGTAACAGAGAAGTCAGCTAAAGTAGAATTATGGGTGTAATTTTATGCGCATACATATTGGATTAAGGTGCTTTGGACTAAGCAGAATTTAGGATATTAATTATAATACAAGGAAAAGGCAATACAGCAGATAAAATGTGAGTCTTTGGTAGCTGAATAAAATTGTGATTTACTAAGCCTCTTTGAAATACTAGTAAGCAGACTTGCAAGATTTTGTTAATGAAGCCTTACAATAAAGTAGAATTAGTTCATCTAGTCCTATTTCCTGTCTGGATTATCTGGAAGGGCTGACATCAATCTCGCAAGTCAAGGCACAAATTTCCTTCCAGCACTTTTAATTGCTTGAACCATTAGGGTGGATTCTTCCTAGGTTTCTTTCCCTGACCATTAAGCCCCTGGGGGCTCCTGCCTCTCTTATCTGATAGTTTCCTAGGCAGCATATCCTCCTCTCATTCCTCAAGGTCTCCCATACATACATTCTATTCCATTAGACAGAACATAGCCTACAGCTACATAATAGGCACAGAAAGAAACTTCAAAAGGAACCTCTCTTGCAAGACTGATGTCAGCATTCACAGGTAGATCAGACAGAAAATACAATCAGTGACTTAAGAAGACTACAATAACAGAACATTTCAAGTCTGATAATAATGATCATTCCTTTGGCACCACCTCTTCCCCGTGTTCCAAGGTCATTTCACATACCATTGCACATATATTCTAACAAAAGTGGACATTTGAGTATGTACTGGGGACTGAAATGATTATATAGAATGTTAGTAATTAAGTGCATAGTTCATTACCAAAGCCTCACAAATACTGTACTATTGTAGCTACTGAATTGTTGGCTTTATCCTATTTAGATTGTTGGAATACTGATCCTCATTCAAGACCATCCTTTGCAAATATTTTGAATAAACTAACTAATATAGAAGAATCTGGTTTCTTTGAAATGCCAAAAGAATCATTTCATTCCCTGCAAGAAGATTGGAAAATTGAGATCCAGGAAATGTTTGACCAACTCAGGGCCAAGGAAAAGGTAATTAGGTGGGAACTGTTACTTCGATAAACAATTAACCACTTCTGCCTCAGAATCCATTGCAAGTAAAGTAGATTTCTCTACAATACAGACAAAACTATACTTATTAAATCTGAATTCTTTTCTACTTCCCATGAGAAGAAACCTTAACACTGAATAATTAAGAAAGTAAAATGCATACTTGTTCCTAAATAAAATTGTTTTAGATAAATATGGTCTAGCTGAAACTGGAATATATTCAATTATGAAAGACAATTCTAGGTAAAGTCACTGTGAGACAGAATAGAACACATAGCGCAAACTATGTAAGTTATGTGAAAAGACTTGTTCTGTATATAGGGATTCCTCGATTTATGACTATAATTGATTCCAAAATTTCTGTTGCTAAGGAAGACATTTAAGTGAGTTTTACCCCATTTTACAACCTTTCTTGCCCCAGTTGTTAAGTGAGTCGCTACAGTTATGTTAGTAACATGGTTGTTTAAGTGAATCTGGCTTACATGCACACACACACATACATTCAGATTACAGTCTTACATGGAGAAAGGAAAAGGCGATCGAATTGGGTTTAAAAAAGACCATGGAACATGAGACATTATCGATGATGTACATGTGCAACTGAGAAGACCAAAGAACATAAAAAAGAAGTCACAATGTGCCTCATTCATGACAGAAAGATTTTTGATTGTGTCGATCATGTCAAGTTATTGAAAGTGCTCAGAAAAATAGGAATCCCAGAATATTTCATTGTCTTCATGAAAAACAATATACAGGACAAAAAGCTACAATACAGACATAATAGGGCAAAACAGACTGCCTCCATGTTAGAAAAGGAGTGTGACAAGGGCAGTGGTGGATTGCTCCGCCCGGACATTATCAAATACAATCTGCACATATGCAGAAGTGGCGCGCGCACGCACAAACCAGTAGCAAAGATAAGTGAAACCCACCCCTGGACAAGGGTGTAACAGATTAACAGAGTTGGAAGTGACCTTGTAGGTCATCTAGTCCAACCCTCCTCCCCGCCCAAGCAGGAGACCCTACACCATTTCTGGCAAATGGCAGTCCAATCTCTTCTTGAAAGCCTTCAGTGATGAAACTCCCACAACTTCTGAAGGCAAGCTATTGGCTGATTGTTCTCACTGTCAGAAATTTTCTCCTTATTTGTAGGTTGAATCCCTCCTTGATCAGTTTCCATCCATTATTCCTTGTCTGGCCTTCCGGTGTTTTGGAAAATAGCTTGACCCCTTCCTCTCTGTGGCAGCCCCTCAAATATTGAAACACGGCTATCTTGTGTATACCGTGTTTCCCCAAAAATAAAAAATAAGTCTTATTTTTTTTTGAACCCTGAAATAAGCGCTTGGCCTTATTGCCATGCGCTCAAAAGCCCGATTGGGCTTATTATCAGGGGATGTCTTATTTTGGGAGAAACAGGATACTCTCTCCTTATTTATTTTACCCACCTGCTGAATATATATGGTGGGAAGCTCAATTAGAATATAATTGTGGTTTTAAAACTAGAGAGAGAAAAAGCAAATGATGCTTTTACCTACAGCCAAAAAAGCAAAAGATCAGCAAGATCTAGTAATAAAAGTCAAGTACAGAAAAAAAAAAAAGGGTGGGAGAGACTTCTTTAAATATAAAGAAGACCAAACTAATGACAACAGGTAGAACAATCAGTCTTAAAACTGGCAATGAAGACATTACCAATTTAATATCAAGCATCAACAGTATAAAGGAACAAGTCAAGAAATATGTCCCAGACTAACGTTTGATGAAGCAGGCATAAAAACCTTGGAAAAGATATTCAAATGCAATGATGTGTCTATATCTACAAAGATCAGAACAGTGCAAGCCATGGTATTTTCTGTGACAAGCTATAGAAGTGAAATTTGGACTTTGAAGAAGCAAGACAGAAAAAGTATTGGATGGTTTTGAACTTTGGTACTGGAAAAGTCTTCTGAGAATACTGTGGACAGTCACGAAAACAAATTGATGAATCATCAAACAAAACAATCCAGAGTTCTCATTCAAGGAACAAATAACCTGGCCCAAATTATCCTATACAGTTTGTGAAGCCATTATGTGAAAAATAGAAGAAAAGAGAAAGACAACCAGAAGCAAGATGAATGGACTCAGTTACAGTAGTGATGAATGTGTGTTGAAAGACCTGGTTAGGGACAGGATTGTCATGGAGAAAATCTATGGTTGCTAAGAGTTAAAAACAACTTGAGGGCACACAATTTCAAAAAAAATCAACATATATAATTGTCTTAATTATTATTTGTATTCAAGTTCTCTCTTTGTATATGTAGATAATCCACTGTAAGAAGTTAATGGTTGGACTATATGGCATAAATAACCACTTCTCCTGCTATGATTCTATTAAACAGAATCGTAGAGTTAACAGATTAATATTAAAAAATAATAAAAGCTCATGACAATAAAAATTATCAAGATCTAAAACATGAGAGAAGTTTAAAAAGGGCTTGGTATCAAATTTCAAAGGCGGTACTGAGTATAGCTAAAGATTTAAAGTACAAGACCTTTTTTATATCTGCAAATTAATCTCTGGAGCTATTTAATGAAGTGCTACCGTAAGTAAACTGCAGACTCTGAATCACCATTAGATGGAAACCAAAGAAATACAGAGAACTTCTGTGGTTTGGATTCTGGCAGATCTTTATCTTTATCTTTATTTTTATTCAAATTTCTATACCGCCCTTCTCCTTTCGGACTCAGGGCGGTGAACAGCCAAAAAATAAAACATTTTATATACAAAAGTTAAAATAAATTTAAAATAATTAAATAAATTTGGCCCATTAATTTAAAACATTCCAATTAAAACGATATCAAAATTATTAAAACCAATCATAAAATCAGGACAGCCCGGCTAACTGAAAAAAATAGGTTTTGAGAGCCCGACGAAAAGCCCGGAGGTCTGGGATCACTCGTATCTCTGGGGGTAGATTGTTTCAGAGGGTGGGTGCTACCACAGAGAAGGTTCTCCCCCTGGGGGTCGCCAGCCGACATTGCCTGGCTGACAGCACCCTGAGGAGGCCCTCTCTGTGGGCGCGAACTGGCCGGTGGGAGGCAATTGGTGGCAGGAGGCGGTCCCGTAGATACCCCGGCCCTAAGCCATGGAGCGCTTTAAAGGTGATCACCAACACCTTGAAGCGCACCCGGAAGTCCACCGGGAGCCAATGTAGCTCGCGCAGGAGAGGAGTCACATGGGAGCGCCCCGTCGCTCCCATAATCCCCCGCGCGGCCGCATTCTGCACCAGTTGGAGCCTCTGGGTGCACCCCAAGGGGAGCCCCATGTAGAGAGCGTTACAATAGTCCAGATGAGAGGTGACGAGTGCCTGAGTGACCGTGCGTAGGGAGTCCCGATCCAGAAAGGGGCGCAACTGGCGTATCAGGTGGACCTGATAGAAGGCCCCCCTGGCCACGGCCGTCGTATGCCCTTCTAAAGACAGCCGTGCATCCAGGAGGACACCCAAGTTGCGAGCCCTTTCTGTGGGGGCCAATGATTCGCCCCCAATAACCAGCGATGGCGCCAGCTGGCTATACCGGGACGCCGGCAGCCACAGCCACTCGGTCTTGGAAGGGTTGAGTCGGAGCCTGTTTCTCCCCATCCAGACCCGCACAGCTTCCAAGCACTGGGACATCACTTCCAAGGCATCGTTGGGATTGTCTGGGGTGGAGATGTACAGCTGAATATCATCAGCGTACTGATGGAACTCCACCCCAAAACCACGGATGATCTCACCCAGTGGCTTCACATAAATGTTAAACAGGAGGGGCGCGAGGATCAACCCTTGTGGCACCCCACAAACAAGGCGCCTCGGGGTCGACCACTGCCCCCCTGTCAACACAGATTGCGACCGGTCGGAGAGATAGGAGGAGAACCACCGCAAAACGGTGCCCCCCACTCCCAGTCTCTCCAGCCGGCGCAACATGATACCATGGTCGATGGTATCAAAAGCCGCTGAGAGATCTAACAGGACCAGGATAGAGGAATAACCCCTACCCCGAGCCCTCCAGAGATCATCCACCAACGCGACCAATGCCATTTCCGTGCTGTACCCAGGCCTGAAACCGGACTCGAGCGGATCCAAATAGACAGCTTCATCCAGGTACTGGGGAAGCTATCGCGCCACCACACTCTCAACAACCTTCGCAATAAAACGAAGGTTGGAGACTGGACAATAGTTAGCCAAAACAGCCGGATCCAGGGAGGGCTTCTTGAGGAGGGGCCTCACAACTGCCTCTTTCAAAGCGGAGGATTGAAAGATCAGACAAGTAGTGAATATGGACTTGATGAAAAGTAATAGTTCTACTGTCTTGTTATTTGTCTACTCTACTTATTTTATAATTAGCTAGATAATCTGATTTCCACTCAATGTATGAACATTTCTTTCAGTTTTTTAATTTCTCACTGTATAGGTAGTTCTCACTTAATGACTGTTCAAAGTTACAACAGACTAAAAAAATTACAACCCATTCTCAATTTTATGACTGCTGCACATGTGCACACACACATGCACACACACACACACGCACACACACAGTGTTATGTGATCACATTTTGGGTGCTTGGCAACTGGCTTGCATTAACTGGCTTGCACATGACTGTTGTAGTGCCCCACAGTCATGTGACAACAATTTGTGGTATTTTTTTGCCATTGCATCAAATTGGTAAAAAAACACCCATTGGATATGTTGGATTCATTTAACAACCATGGGACTTGTTTAACAGTCACATGATTTATTTAATCACTTTTCAACCATCCCAAAAATATTTGAAAAATCAAGTCAGATCATGGGTGAACCAGCATAACGATTGCAATAAGTTATGACCAAAATTCCAGCCTCAATTGTGGATGGTAAGAGAAGATTACCTGTAGTTGTTTTGAAATTTGATTCCTGGCTGATTTTAGAGATAAAGCTAACACTATTCTGATTTTAAAAAATTAAATGATTCATTCATATCACTGACCTTTAATTATTCAAATTATATGTATTGAAAAGCTGTTAAATACCATGTGTATATTCAAAATATCAGCTGAGTTTTCTGAACCTTTCAGTTTATAGTAGGCCTAATTCTAATTGATTTTGCTACCCCAATTTTTAGTTTGGTTTGGGACTTGTTTTCTTGTAGGAGTTGCGGACGTGGGAAGAAGAGTTAAAACAAGCAGCAGTTCAACAGAAAAACCATGAAGAACTACTACGGCAACGCGAGCAAGAGTTGGCAGAACGAGAAATTGATATTTTGGAAAGGGAACTCAATATCATCATCCACCAACTGTGCCAGGAAAAGCCCCGTGTGAGAAAACGCATGGGCAAATTCAGGAAAAATCGGCTCAAGTTGAAAGATGGCAATCACATCAGTCTTCCCTCTGGTGCGTTTAGCAAAACAAAATAAACTAGCAAAAGTTTTAGCCAAACAAAACAAACTAACTATTGCTTCTTTCTAGATTTCTTTAGTCATGAAAATATACGACATGTATGAATAGTTATCTGATTACAATCAAAACATTCTTTAATTCAAGCTAGACTTCTAGTGACTTTGTAGGCCTAGACAAATTGTTTTCTTGACAACAGTGTGAAAGTGACAAGCCTTTGTGGGATGTCTTGGTCAAGCCTATAGCCCTAATATTCTTTGGCAGTCTCCCATCAAAGTATTAACAAGATTCAACTCTATTTAGTTTTTAGAGATCAGCCCAAAGGAGATAGCTACTACCAATTGCTATGTTACTTTTTAAAACAAAAATCAGATTGGAAAGAAATCTTCTGTAACTTCTAATTAAGGGACAGATCGTGATCACCAAGCAATAAGTAAGATTAAGATACCTTCTTCATAGCTTTCCAAATTTATATAAACTCAATATCAATCTGCAGTTGGAATAGTTTTGATCTGCATATAAGAGAAACTGAGTCTACCAACCAAAAATGTTATGGAATGTAAGGGTTTTTTAAAAAAAATAGTATTGAAAAGTTCCTATTAGCTGGCCTTCACTTTCTCCAAAGGTTTACCCCAAAATAAAATCACATTTTGTAAAAAAATGTTACTGACCTTTGTGACTTTGCAATGTTAACAAGTGGACACGGAAAAAAACTCTGTTCCCTTAATCTCATTTCAGGCTTAGCCAAAATTAAAGTAGACTATCTTTGATTTGGTCCAAGTTCAATGGAAGTATTTTCAAACTAGTGCTGAATTTTGCTGGAACAAAATATTTTATTTTGAATATCGCCAATAAGCATTTGTGATATGGAACTTTTGCAAATTTAGCAGCATTTTCCCATCAAAGCAATGCCTCTCCTTCCTCTCTTCTGAATTAGCTTATTAAAGCTACAGCATGAGATGAATTTTAATACATCATTTTAATACAACATCATACTGTATCTTCTAGAAAAAGTACTTTACCATTTCATTAACTAACCCATCTGTGTAACGTGTTGCATAATAAATTTAATACAGAAGAAGACATGGCTCTAACATATTTTAATAATTGGAAAACACTTACAATTTTAATGTTTTCTATTGTCAATGTTGCAGGATTAATACTAAATTCTCAACTGAAGATAGTGTATTAGCAGAGTAAAGTATATATGTGAATGACACAGTACTGCACTGTATATCTTTTCAGTGTTAGCATTACTTCACTAAGTTCCTTCTTTACGTTTCCTTCCATAACAGATTTCCAGCACAAATTCACCGTGCAGGCATCTCCAACCATGGATAAAAGAAAAAATTTGATCAACAACTGTGCTAGTCCTCCTGCCAGCCCTACTATCATTCCTAGACTCAGGGCCATCCAGTGTAAGAAATTTTAGTTGCAATTTATAAAAAATGTCCAGTACCAATATGAAATTGTGAATTTCTGTTTTAATAAAGACATCATGTTGCTTTCTATATTGGGGAGTTTCGTTTATAGCTAATCTTGATGGCCCCATTGTGTCTCATTATAATTTGTTCTTAACAACTGATTGCTTGCATCCATCTTTCTGCCATTTTATCCTTAACATTAAGGGCTTAAATAAATGTTCATAGCTGTCACTTGTTTTCTTGCAGGGTACAATAACTATAAGATGTAGAGCTTGTGTAGGGTATTTAAAGCTGCTGTAGAGATATCTAACTTTTGGCAGAACAGCAACAGTTATTTGGGGGGGGGTATATACCGATACATATACCGTACACACACACACACACACACACACACATACACACTATCATGTATAATCAATGTAGAAGGTATACAATAAATGTATACATGGTAAATAAAACATATAAATAGTGAATATGAGAATTGCCATCATGATTCTCTAAACACTAAGGCAAATACATTTATGAATATGAGTTAGAGTTTGAGCATTTTATTTTACAGGATGAGAACATTCCAAAATTCTTTCCAACTGATGTCAAATGAATATTCAAGGATTGTACCATAATCAGGAGTGCCTAGGGCAATCATTATGGTGGCCAAGACAGTAATTCTATTTTGTATTTTCTATGTTGTACAAAGCTTTATGGGTTTGCTGGCCAAAGCAAATTGATAATTATGTAATTCTTTTAACAGCAGTATGATTTGGCAATGACTAAACACAGCCCACAGTAATTTTGCTACTGCATTTTGCACTGGCTTTTATTTTCAGATTAAAAAGACCACCAAAAGTCACTGGGAATTAAAAATATAAATTGTGGTTGTTAATATTTGTAGCAGTCTGACATTACAATAATGAAGTATGAGTTTGCCAGTGTGAGGATCCCTGATACTAATTTATCCCTACATAAGAACAGCCACAAGTAGTCTGTTCTTTGATACCAGCTTCCTAACTTCCAGTAACAATACTGGATAATAATATAATACTGGATAATAATTCTGCAATTAGACTGCATATCCCATCAGAACAAGAAGGCTTGAACTATTTCTCAAAGCCATGAAGAACATATTTTTAAGACTTACGGTACATCTTAATTAACATGCAGTCTCCGCTTCTTATTCTGTCTGTCACTATGTGGTACAACATTGACTTATGATTTTCATAATTTGTCTTAATGCAGATGGAACAAAAATGTGTTCTGCTTTATTTATTTATTTTTAAAGGTTTTCCCCCATCCCACTGCATCAGTTTCAAACTGGTTATCACAAGCGTGGTATGATCTTTCAGAGGTGAAGAGGATGTCTTATTTAGCTTTACAAAAAACAAAATCTGGAACAGATGTATGTAAAGTGGTCTGACCTTTAATCAAGTATAGAGAGCATGTTACAATTTTCTTGAAGAAATAAAGCATATTTACATCCTTAGCTGTAGTTGGCCCTGTTTGCAGCATTTTTCTTAAAAAGAGAAAAGGCCAACGCTTTTAATAGTAAGAAATGTGAAGCTTCACCCCTATTCCATTTGCAGAGCATAATAAGCAGTGGTAGACTGCTGCCGGTTGCAACAACCGGTTTGCCCAGCACCGAAAATGTGAGCGTGTGCGGTCTTCCGCGCATGCGCACGGCTTCAAAAACACGGAAATATAGGATGGGATACCGTCAGGGCGGGTGGGCAAGGTCGCAACTACCGGTTCACCCAAACTGGTCTGAATCTGCATCAGCCCACCTCTGATAATAAGGATATTTGGATATTTATCCTCTTATCAGTTTTTTCTCTCAACTTCTTGCAGCAATCTTTTGCTATTACATTGTATTGCTATTTCATTTGAGACTGAGTTTTATTTCCCTGAGAAATGTTCTCTCCTTCAGTATACATCTTTTAAAAAGAGAAAGAGAAAAAAGAGAGAGAGAGAAAATGGCTGCCTTCCTGATAAAAAGTCTTTTCCCTAGCTAAGCTGAGTGAGAACGTCTGTGAACAATTAAAATTGCGGTTTGTAAATTTTCAAAAATAAGTCTAGTTTATAGTTTATAAAGGATAAAATGTTACATCTTACAACGTTGTTGGATGATGCTTACTTTTTTTCTTTCTCCAATCTTGCCTCTCATCTTCAGTAACCCCTGGTGAAAGCAGCAAAACCTGGGGACGCAGCTCTGTGTTCCAGAAGGATGAGGAAGGAGAAGAAGAAAAAAGAGGCCAGAAGAAAAAGGGTCGAACATGGGGGCCAGGTACTCTTTGCATCAAGGAGCTAACATCAAGTGAGGATGGGTAAGAAACACATCTGCCCCTGTGTCATGAGTTTTCAGTGTTTATCTGGGTGGTTATATGTATGTATAGTGGGAGCTAGTTTGATGTAGTAGTTAAAGGCATCAATCTAGAAATTGGGAGATTGTCAGTTCTAATCGTGCCTTAGGCACAAAGCCAGCTGAGGGACCTTGAGTGGGTCACACACTCTCAGCACTAGGAAGAAGTCAGTGGCAAACCATTTCTGAAAATCTTACCAAGAAAAACCTCCAAAGAATTGTAAAGGCAGTTTGATATCTTTTAACACAGTGGCCCCCAACCTTTTGGGCACCAGGGACTGGTTCCGTAGAGAGAGGTTTTTCCACGGACCAGAGGGTGTGTGGTTTTGCATGCCATCTGCATGCCACAAATGGGGCTTTGCTTGTTGTGCAGCCCAGTTTCTGGCATGCCCCGGACTGGTGTTGGGCCATGGATTGGGGATTAGGGACACTGTTTTAGCAGGTAGCTGTAAAAAGTACTCTCAGAAACGTATGATTTGAATTTTCATCAAGTATCTTGACACAAACTATTCCACAAACACACTTTGAATTGTCTTTTTCAAATGCAGTATTCTTTATGATTTTGATAGGAGGAAGGCAGGAGCTACTTAGAGAATGCAATACTGTTCTGAAAAAAGCATAAAGTGAAGAAGATGTGTTTCATGACCTTTTCTTGTTATTCAATTTCATGGAAATGATTGCTGGGCAATTTCCTAATTTTTTAGGTTTTGGAAAAGTGTTATAACAATTCTATCTATCAGGGTGGAAAAAGAATATTTTCAGAAGTGGTAGTCTTCAATTTATGACCACAGTGGGGCCAGTATTTTCATTGTAAATTGTTGTGGTCTTAAACCGAGTCAGACTTGATTTAACAATTATTTTTACTGTGGTTGTTAAGCAAATCACCATGGCTGTTAAACAAATCATGCAGTCATTAACAAAAGTGCATTTTTTGCTGAAAGTAGGCAGAAAAGTTCACACATTGTGATCACATGACTGAGGGGATGGTGCAACAAGTCAGAAGTCATGCCTTCTGAGGCTATTGTAATTTCAAATGGTCATTAAAAAAATGAAAATAAGATGAGGATTACCTGTAAAAATAAACCTGCCCTGTACATTTTTGACTCAGGAAGAAAGTGCTCCAGGTCAGTGAGGCTAAAACATACAGAAATGTGCAGAAATAAAAGAGTTGTCTCTCTGCTCATGAAACTATGAGCAGTGGCAACACATGAGCATACCTCTATATTTACAATATATATCCATTCATTCCAAGCAAATTATCTGCATTATATCAGTGGGAGGAGCCAAGATCAGACACTTTGATCAAAAAGGTGAAAATAATCATGACTCCGGCTCTACTCCTTTTATATGTTTGTGCAAATGATTTATTTTTATTTTATTTAAATTGGACATTTCTTGACTCCTCCCAACTCTGGGAGGCTTGCATTATAAAAAAAAAACGAATTTCCCAAAGCATATAACAACATATGGCAGAACATGTCAACAAAACAAATACACCTTACACCCACTAGGGGTTCCAACTATCCTAGCTCAATGCCTGGAAGGTCAGGCAGGTTCTTGAGACCCTCCTGAATACTGCCAGGGTGGGAGTCACCCAGGTCTCAGAGGAAACCTCATTCCACAAAGTAGTGTCATGAGATGCAAACAAAAGGCTACAGCTAATGTCGCAGTGGTACAGTGTTTCATTCACCATTTGCCTATCTCCTTATGCCCCGTCAGATACATTTGGATTTAGCATTATTTCTAAGAATCTGTAGTAACTTTAAATGAATCGACTGAGATTTTGCTGAAGCTTTATAGATCATATTCTAGGAAACTAAAGGCTGAAATGTTTTCCACCATCCTTAAGTGAGTAGTTTTATGATTACTGTGGAATATCTGTCACTTTTGACATGTAAGATGATTTGGCTGCTCAAGCCATCATTCAGATATTAATTTGCATTTCAATTGTGTCTTCAAAGTATTTTAAATTACCTTCTTAACCAGTTTACGTTTTAAATCTTGTTAGTAACCATAAATGCACTTATTTAGTGAAAAGATAGATTATAAATTCAATAAATAAGCATTTACGTTATCTTAGTCTATTGTTCTTGTCAACAAACCTGTACTGATCTTTGGAATATTAATTTTCAGTTCCATGGTCTTCACTGCATCATATAATCTTTTGCTACAAATCATTCAGATTCTCAGCCAATGTGATTTGTGGAGTCCTTGGTACTTTTTGAGCTTGGTTTTTTTCATGCAGACATTTCATTACCTTACTAGATAATACCATCCATGCTAGTGAGTGTGGGATTTGTTCCCTATTTATATACAGTAGCTTGCCATTCCAGAGCTGGTAAAGGTGAGGTTTTATCCTTGGTCATTCCTTGATTAGAGTATTGCTTTTTGCTTGATTGTTTATCTGATGCTAATCCCTGCTTATCTGGATGTGGACCTTAAACTCCACATTCCATAAAATGTTCCAAAATTTAAGTCTGTTCACTTTATCATGTTTTTTCCCTATACATAGCAACATTTCTTTCTCACTTTTAGCTTAGTGCCATTCTTTTTTTTTTTTTTTTTTTGTCTCAGGTAGACTTTTTAATTTGTTTAGGCATTCTAAAATCTTGAATAGCTGATATCGGTATCAGTATTATCATCATCATCATCATAATCAATGCGGGTTGACTGCAATAAAAATTAAATTGGGTTTTATTAACCAATTAATTATGTTGAGATTGTTGTGTATTGTGTTCTGTACTGTATTCTACTGTATTGTATTGTTGAATTTTGCTAATCATTTTGTTCTCACAACTGTAGATTGTTTCAGGGGTTATGCTAGGGAAAATCTCATAAGTTTAAATAAGTAACTGAGGTGAATTTCATTTTTAATGTATAATCTACAGAATGTCAAGTCATTTTAATGTTTAATCTATAGAGCAGAGGTCTTCAAACTTGGCAGCTTTAAGACTTGTGGACTTCAACTCCCAGAATTCTCCAGCCAGCATAGTCCACAAGTCTTAAAGCTGCCAAGTTTGAAGACCTCTGTTATAGAGTGTCAAAATGGACAATAGGAAGGAAGCAAGCTCCTGCATTTATTTAATTTTTCTTCTCTATATTTTAGCCTAAAGTCCCTGGCAGATGGCGCTAGACAGTGGTCATCTAGTGCTCCAAACCTTGGAAAATTCCAGCGAACAATAGTCCCTTTCCCTGGGTTTGCAAGCCTAATAGAGATGGGTAAAGTACATGTTAAATTAAATGTATTAAATGAATAGCATATTGCTTTATTTCACCATTTGTGATAAAGAAACAAAAGCCTCTCAAATATCTCTAATGATTTTTTTTAAAGGCTCCACTTAGCAAGTCTGTTTACCTGTTTACTGGTCAAGTTGGGACATATTTAGCTCCCCCATTCTCCCAGAACTGTAACACTTGTTAAAAATTTGGGGTCCTTGGGGCGGGGAAGAAATTGATCAAAGCTCTTAATATAGAACAAATGATCCAAAACATCCTATTGGCTTTTAAGAGAAACCTCTGAATTGTGCATGGGAAATTAAACTAATAGCAAATGAAGCTTTTTAAGGGCATGTGATTTCAGAGGTTAGTTCCCTTTTTCAGCTTAGAGGCTATATTTTAGTGACAATCCTGTAGATATAATTTTAAATCAAATCTGGAGTTTATTGACATACCATTCATTATTATTTCTTTCATTCCAGAAAACGTAGTGGAAGCACCAGATTGTGTGTGCTCCTAAGCCCCTCTCAACAAACTTGGATCAATTTACACAATGTATCTTAGTTCTGATTCATTGCAGGGAATTCAGCCTTATCTGTAACATTTGAATATCCCCTCTATCCTAGATAATCGCCTGCAAAATACAACTTTCTTAGAACTGTTGTCTTTTAAAAGATACATGAGTCAGTATAGTTGCATAAGAAAGAATAAGAGCATTTATCAATTCAAAAGTAGCCTTTTGAAGTGCTTCCTTGAATCAACAGTATTCCAATATTTTGTACTTATTAAAATTTAAATTCAGATTTCTATAATTTTATCATGTTTCAAGATACACACACGTGCAAAGTTAACCAATAAGTATTTATTATATAAATATTAAAAAATTGTGTGTGTGTGTGTGTGTGTTGATCTGTATTTCAGACAATGAAGACAACGATTCTTTGAACGATACAGAGAGCAAGATGCAGCAATCCCCTGGATTTAACCAATCATACCTCTGTATCCCGTTTCAAAAGACTGATGACTGGGATACCCACTCGAGTGATCCAAATGAAGAGACTACTCCAGTGAACTCTTGCACAAGCACTCCTCAGCTCACTCCCACCAACAGCCTCAAACGTGGGGGCTCCCAGTATAAACAATGTCAGTTGGCCTTTCTAGGCTGTGGGGCTGTGTTGGCTGCTGCTGGCCTAGGTTTTGATCTTTTGGAGGCTGGCAAGTGCCAGCTGCTAACCCAGGAAGATCAGGACATGTCCAAGGAAGAGAAAAAGAAACGGGAAAGTATCTTCCAACGGGCTGGTCTATCTCGGAGGAGTACCAGCCCGCCTTCAAGGAAGATCTTCAAGAAAGAAGACCCCACATTCTTGTTAGGCGAACCATCCAGTTCTCTGACTCTACTCTCTTTGTCTTCAATTTCTGAATGTAACTCCACCCGTTCTTTGCTTCATTCAGACAGTGATGAAATTGTGGTATACGAGATGCCTGTTAGCCCTGTGACAGTGAAGGCTCCCTTGCCAGTAGTTACTAACCCGCTAGTTAATATTCGAGTTGAGAGATTCAAAAGGAATCCCAACCAGTCTTTGACACCTACACATGTGACTCTTTCTTCTGAAGCTCAGCAGCAGAGGCATAGGCGCACTCCCTCGGATGGTGCCATAAAACTGGCTGATCTCGTTCCTAATGGAGATTCTTCCAGTAACTGTCCACCAGGAGTGCTGGGAACAGGTAAGTTTTCATTCTTCATTTTTATATTCCATATGAAGTGAGAACATAAATGTCCTTGCCACTGCATTTCTGCAATAGCTGTTGATTTTGAAGTAAGATTGAAGGACAAAAATAAGCTATTTTTGTATAGTCAGTTGGAGCAGTAGAGAAGACTCTCAGAGATGCTGAAGGAAAGAGGGAAACCTTTATCCAATCTCTTTTCATCTTTCCTCAAACTAGAGGTTTATCTTTTTCTTGTAGCTTCTGATTCTAACTTCCCTTCCTATTTTGCTTCCTTTTAGCATGATTTTACTTCTTGCACACATTTTTCTGTGCTTTAAAAGGAAACCCTACAATTACTATTTTATCATTTCATCTCTTCTTTAGTGTTCCTAGTGTTTTCTTCTACTCAAGATTACTTCTTTATTTTCCTGAAATCTTTGTCCTGCCAAAAGATAAAATTCTCTTGTGAATTAACCAAACTGAGCTAATATGACTAACGAGCGACACTAAAAATTACTCAGATGAATGAATGTGCATATATTTTGTTGTGACATAAATATGTTTCCTGCTTCTTAATTAAGACAATATATTATCTTAAAAGCAAATGACAAATATTAGACTTCCTGTGGACACCTAAAATTTTGTTAAATCTCAAGGAAGCTATTTCATTCTTTGGCACAACTACATTGTGAAAATCCCAAAACTGTTTGATTTCTTGGGATATGTTTTGGCTGATGAATTTAGCAAAGATTTGTTCTCTCCATATAATAATAATAATAATAATAATAATAATAATAATAATAATAATAATGATGATAATAATAATAATAATAATAATAATAATAATAATAATAATGCCCTCTAACTAAAAATAAAATAAGAGCAACTGAAATAAAGAATAACTGAGTAGTTGGGCAGCACAAAAACAACAATGTTGCCTGCTTTGAAGCTTGTTCCAAGAAGCAGCTACTACAAGTATTAAAAAATGCCAACACTGTATATCAAATATAAGCACCAGTTCACTACAAGAAACAAACCAACTGATGTACAACGTAGCTGCAGTTTTAACTGAATAACTTAAATGCAAAATAACTTAAATGCAACAAGAAAAAAAGCTACTAAAACCCAGTAAAATGGAAGATCAGGTTGGAAAATAAACTCAGGATGCTTAGATCAGATGTAAGCAAGCTAGAACAGGTGAAAGAAAAAATGCTGAAGAATAAGGCGGCCAAAGAATACTTGATCAAGAAATATCACCTAGAAATAAGGAAAATCAAGAAATCACTGGAAATAATAAAACAGCAAAGAATAGCCATAGCCAAGAAGAACAGCGGACACGAGGCTCACATTTGCTGCCTTGAGTTATTTGTAAAATTGATAAAGGTGGAATATAAACAGACAAATTGTACACTATAGTCAGATCATAAATGTTTCTACCAGTTCATCCATAGAGAGACTGCAATGAATCAGTCAATACCTGATGATGAAGAAACATTGCAGTTCTGGGTGCAGCTATGGGACAACCTAAAAAAAAAAATGCAGCTTGGCTAAAGAAGGTGGAAAGAAAAAAAGAAGCTGAATGAAAACTTGTAAGAACAGCAGAAATTATAGAGAAAAGGACAAGGAAACTCAAGAATTGGTCAACACTAGGTGAAAATGAAGTGCATGGTTTTTGGCTGAAACAGCTGACTGGTCTGCACCCACACATTGCCAAACAGTTTAATATACTGCAAGGAGGTGAAATTAAAGATTAGTTAAAATCCAGCAAAGCTTACTTGATAATGAAAGATTCAGCAAAAGGGGCAGCACCACTAAGGCCAATTACCTACCTGCCAACAACTTTGAAATTACTGGTGTGGTAGCTGATGCAATCCAACAGCATCTACTTGAAAACAAGCTCTTTCCACTTGAGAAGAAAGGAAACTACCCAAACAGTAGAGAAACAGAAGATCAGTTCCTAATTGAGAAGATGATTTTTTGGAAACCTGCAAGAGAAGGAAATCCAACTTGAATGTAGGAAGGTTTGATTACAACAAAGCATTTGACTCCCTGCCACATGAGTAGATAATCAAGTGTCTAGAAATACAGGAATCAGTAGAAACATCACAAACTTTGTGCAAAAATCAATGTCACCATGCAAGACACAATTCCTGGTCAAGAATGATAGAGTGGGAGAGATAAATATCAACAGAGAAATCGCAACTACTGTTTGCCATTTCATTGGTTCTTCTGTCATCAATACTGAAGAAGTCAGGCTATCAGACATCAAAAACAGCTATCTCACCTCCACTACATGGACGATCTGAAGCTACAATATATGGAAAAACACCATCTGAAATAGAATTGCTGCTAAACACTGCCAGTATATATAGCCAAGATATTGCTGTGGAGTTTGGACTGGATATATGTGCCACCCTTGTCATCAACAGGGTAAAAATAGTGAAAACTGAAGGAATCATGATGCTCCACAGAAATAATTTCAAGCACCTGGATGAAGAAGATCACTACAAATACACGGACATCCTTCAAACTCAGGAGGTCAAGCCAATTGAAGTCAAGAAGAAGGTTAGAAGGGAATACATCATGACAGAGAAGAAGATCTTAAAGTCCAAACTTAGTGGAGGAAATGTCATCAAGCCAATTAACACCTGGGAAATTCCAGTCATTAAATATACAGCCCTGGACAGGAAGATCAGAAAAATAATGACAATGAATCATGCCATTCATTCATACAGCAATGTTGACAGACTGTTATTTACAAGGAAAATAGGTGGGCATGGACTCTTACAAATATATCAGACAACTGGAGAAGGAAAAAGGGCATTGGAAAAATATCTGAAATTGAAACTAGTATACCATATTATTACCAAAAGTAACAGGTGCCTTGAGTGCAATCCCAAAGCATCTGGAGCACCACTTGAATGCCAATTATATTGGCAAAATCGCATGAGTCAATTCAAAAAAACAGCTTTACTTGGAACAGCTTACATTCTACGACAATTACCTTTTAACACCATCTAAAAATATCTGTCTATCTCAGGTTTTGGAAATAACTTAATAGTTGGATAAAAATGCCAAATCCAGTCTAAACACCTGGCTAATTGTGCGCTCCACCATAATAATAATAAATAATTCTGTGCCAGCACTGAACATGACGTTATTTTAATTTATCATTTCTAAGGCTACAAATACAGATAGTTAGAAGCTTTGTAGCCATTCCCAAACAAATAATATGGTGTCACTCTATTTTTGTCCATTTTCTGAAGATATATATTAAAATGTATATTATAATAAAGCATAAGGGTTATGATAAAATGAAAACTTCATTTTCTCACAAAATGCTATTTTTTCCACTTGAAATCTATAGCTATAAGTTTGTCATTTCATTGCATAAAATTGATACCATAACTTGGCTATTCTGAAGTTATTTTGGGTATATTAGTAAGGTAGGGGAAAAGTTCTATAATTCCTGCATTTAAAGGAAAGATAAGCATGCTTCACTGTTAATACTATTTTAAAAACATAAATTTTAGTTTAATTAAAATTTTAAATACATTTTAAAATTAATTACAGTTGCAGTTGAAAAGAAATAGCTTTCTTTAAAGAGTTCACAAACTTTTTAAATAAATGGTCTGGATATAATCAATTTATAATATATAATATATCCAGATTATATAATATAATCTGGATATAATCAAAAAGTCCTGTATCTATAACTGAAAGAGACCCCGAAATTAAATCTCTTCCATTTCTTTGTTGTCTTTTCCAAGTGATTTAAGTCAGTTCAAAACTACACCAATATACTATATACTACATACATACAATATGCTGTGTAGCACTTTAGTTTCCAAGGGAAGAAGGTGTTCCAGCAGACATAGAGGCACTAGGTAGCTCCCATTGACTGTGTCTGAAACTAATAATGCCATTTCCCAGCACCTGTTCTTTGCAGCTGCAAAGCAGTCCTGGAAAAAGATATACTTGACTTAAGGCGTTACCACTTAGTGCAGTGGAAGAGCCTTTCCAAAGCACTTTTTTTCCTTTTTGAACTTTCACAATCCTGTCATGCACTTGGTCAGATAGGATTCTAAACAATGCATGATAGAATCACTGCCATTTACATAACTTGTATCCTGCTGATGTACATAATATGCAAATAAATACTAATAACAAGGATAATTAATGCCTACTCTTAAGAAGCCGTGTCAGTTTCCAAATATAAAGAACAATTAAAATTTCAAGAGACACATAGGCTAATTGTAGATAGACACTGCATCTTTGTTTGGAGGAAGCCCCCTTTGAACTGTGAAATTACTGTTAAAAAATGAGCTTTTGAGCAAAAGTTCCACCTTCTGATCACAGCACACCTGTGTGCTATCCTGAAATCTAGATGCAGTATCTAGACACAAGAAGAATTAATGAGAAAAATGTTACTATTTTATTGTTTTTGTTTTAGGTTGCTTTTATTAAAAGCAGTGGCTAATCTCTGCAGAGTTGAAACTAAAAAATAGTTTTGTATCTTCATAAATAAAATTTGTTCCAAGCAGTCCTAAAGCAACGATGCATAAAAATAGTCTTCCATTCTATCTAAAACACTAATGGAAACCTTTCCTTTTCCATATAGGTGTGCTGTTCTCTGACTTTTACCATCTATAAAATTGGTTTTACAGGAGGGGTAAAATCTACTTACCTTCCTTACCGGTTTGGAAGCGCACCCACCCCGCGTGCGCACGCATCACGTGCGTGCAGACCTGCGCATGCGCAAAACCTGCGCATGCACAAAACCTTCTGCGCATATGCAGAAGGTAAAAAACACATTACTTCCTGGTTAAAACCAGGAACTAATGACACCCGGGCAGGTGGGTGGAGCTTCACTCCGCAATCGCTACCGGATTGCCGAACCAACAGCCAAGATTGCTATCAGGCTGGGCGATCCGGCCCGATCTGGGAGCATTTCACCCCTGTTTTAGAGTTTAGAGCTAAGTGGTCCACATTGGAAAAATAATTCCAGCGAAAGAGACATAAAACTGCATGTTGGGTATATGGCAACCTTGTAACCTGTCACACTATTCTTATACTGGCATTTGCCATACGGATTTGCTGGGGTCAGCATAGCAGTCACACTGGCTCCTGTATGAACTGAATCCTCCCTCTGTCTAATACAGCCTTTATATACTAAATGATCCCAATGCCTCATTTCATCAGTGCTGTCTAACTGGTTGGTTTCTCTTTCTTCTCTCTCTCCCCCTTCCTTTCTTCTGTTTGTGGTTTTTTTTTTTCCTGGTGAGAGAATAGGTATAATAAAAACTCCCAGTCCAAGTCAGGGTCCAAATGAAGTCCCTCGTCTGCCAGATCCCAACCTCATCTTCCCTCCAACCCCCAGGCGTTATAGTGCTCAACAGGATTCCATGTTGGAGAGACCCAAGACCTTGGAATTCCTACCTAGGCCACGCCCTTCAGCTAACAGGCAGCGAGTTGATCCCTTGTGGTTTGTATCCCCAAGTAAGGCTAGGGGTGAATCCTCTGCTAATAGCTCCAGTACTGAAACTCCCAGTAACCTGGATTCCTGCTTTGCCAGCAGTAGCAGCACAGTTGAAGAGCAGTCCACGCTGCTTTCTTTTCGTGTCAGGCTGCCTGAAGAGGAACGGACACTGCTGGACATGGATGTTGAAGGTCAGAATCAGGACAGCACAGTGCCGCTATGCAGAACAGAACTCAGAAGACATAAATCTACAGCATATGAACTCAAGCAAGAATTTTGGTCCTAGCATGAAATCCACAAGGGGCTGGTAAGCTCCGTTTTGCTTCAGTTCTACTTCTTGCACTAAGAATGCACTTTCAAGCCAGGTAAAGTAGGAAGTTGGTGCTGAGACCATATCACATTTCTTGGTCCACTACAGAACTGGTATTGGGGAACCCCGTTTTTTATAGCTGCATGTGGCTGAGCTACACAGAGTTGCTGACTCTTTTTCTGGGGTTTCTTGTAGTCCTTGTTAAACTGCAACAAGCAATGCGACGACATCTAAGCCCCTGTTCTTGATTTTCAAGAATACTATGATAATTTGCAAAAGTAGACATCAGTGTTTTACACTGTTAGAGAGCAGGAAATTGTGTAAAAATGTTCCTGCACCAGCACTCTTGTCACACTTCATGTTGTTTTTCTCTCTCAATGCTCTAAACCAGGGCTGTGTCAAATCTTGGCAACTTTAAGACTTGGGGGACTTCTAACTCTCAGAATCCCCCAATTTGAATTCTGGCAGTTAAAGCCCACAAGTCTTAAAGTTGCCAAGGTTGGGACATTCCTGTGCTAAACTAATTTCTTCTTCTTCTGCCCTTCTCCTTTTCTGTGTGCATATGAAACTTCTTTTGAGTCTGAATATTGTAGGCATGGGGGATTCAAGGCTATCTGCAGGAAGCCTTCATTGTTTTCAGTTGACAACATTGTGGGTTTTGACATTATAATGCAAGCTCTGCTCCTTATGCTGTATATTTGTTTGTAGTACAGCTCCTATATAAAAGGGGCAAAGTTTGTGCTGCACCTTTTATCATTTGCCCCTTTGACTCCCCTCCTCACTCTGAGGGGTTTGGTTCCTTATAAATAATGAACTTGCCAACATCATATAAAGCATGTATTCAACTATATTGAATGATTTCTGTTGAGAGGTAGAGAGCCTTGAGTTTCAAAGTTGCCTATTTTCAAGCTCCTGAAGTCAGCTATTTTGGATGGGTAAATGAATGCAGAGTTAATCAGGGCAGAATCACCAGTGGGATGTATGTAGTGGGAAGGCTCTGATAGTGTGGAAGAATTGGGACACTGATACTTTGATCTAGCCCAATCATGTAAAAACACTTTTACATCTTCAAAATTACAGAAGATTTGGGTTGCAATTAGAAAGTGGTATAATTCAATGGGGGGGAAAACACAGAATTCTGCATTCCTTGCACAGATTTTGGCAATATTTTTCATGAAAAAGTTGTTAACTGCACATGCCTGTTTCCACCTAATCTTCTGACTAGGAGTCTAAAGTTTTGATACAGATTAGCTAGCCACGTAAGGCAAGCAACATGCATTGATCTCTTATTGCCATATTATGTGATTGGGTCTATTTCTCATTTTTTTATTTCAGCTGCTTCTAATATTTGGTTTTTAAAAAGAACTGAAAAAACTAACTCGTCCTATACTCTTAGGCTACATATTTAACTTCAGATTGTGGGATGTTTTCTCCCTATTGTAACTATTTTGATTTTTTTTTTACTTGTTTTTGTCTGACAATAAGTGGCTACAGTTCCTTACTTTGAACCGTAAGCTGGCCACTTGTGAAGAATGTTATACAAATTTTTGGCACCATTGTTGCCTAAAAACATGAATTCTGACAATTCAGGCTTAACTTTGCTTGTGCCGCCAGCTTCTTGTATGACATTGGGCAAATCAATTTGCCATATGTGCCTCAGTTTCTCCATCTGTACTAATAGCTACCTCATGCAACAGAAGTGTAGACTTACTGTGCAAGTGGGAACTTATGCCCTCGGTAGAAGTAGACAATTTACTTTACGTTAAGAAAAGTTACATATGATGAAAAAATCTCTCTCTTTGTTATAAAGTATAGGCTAGGTAAATCTTGAACTAGTTCCATATCAGTTTATTCATCTAGCTGGGCCTAGAGAATACAATCGTAATAATCAGCATGGAAAAACACTTGCACACTTATGTAGTCTGGTGCAATGGCTTGTATCTTTCTAGGATCAAATACTGCTGTTTTGTATGCTTAACATTTCATCTCCATATTGTTCCAGTTATAAGCATTGGCCAGCCTAGGCTAGACAATTCCTAAGCTGCTAATGGTGGCTTGAACTTTGCTCTCATCATAATCATGTTTGGTCTTGTCTCAATTCCATTTTTTAAAAACAAATGAACGTTATTTGGTATGGCTTTAATGAAGAAGGTGCAACAGAACAATTGGAACTTTGGGGAGAACGCAGGTAACCAGGGCTGTGAAAAATCATCTTCTGGGACATTTCATAAAGTGACTGAAGCACCCTTCAGATTCACTATTCAAAATGTCTAGGTGTTGCATCCTGTTGAAATCTCAGGGCAGCCATTTTGAGAAATTCCCTAAATTATCAGAACATGCATGTGGGCCTGTTGCTGAAGCAAACTGAATGGTTAATAAACTCTTAGAATCTCCAATCTCTAACTGCATGATTAACATTATAGTGCACATTGCAAAAATTGACTCTAAGAATAGCAAACTTATCAAAAGGCAATTATTTCCAAATGTCACGTATATTATTTCATATATTGATTTATTTGAATTCCACTTTTTTTTTTTTGCAAGAGTCTCAGGGCAATGTACATTGTCCTCTCCCATTCCATCCACCATATCTTTGCAATAATGGATAATGTGAGAGCTTATTAAATATCTCTTAGTGAGATTAATATATCTAAATTGGATTTAAACTTCAGTATCCCCATTTCACATTCATCTTTCAAACACTATGCCATGAAATATGAATGAGCAGAGAAAGCTTCTAAGAAAGAAGAAGTCAGATTGTCATAGTGGCTCATATGCTTTGCTCTTACCTACAGTGTATATAAAATCAGTGGATTTCAGTGTAACCTGACAGGCAACCATTCTATAAGAAGATTACATTTTTAAAATGGAGTACTTTTTAAAACCTTATTTCCAATTCCCATACCTACTTCCAATCAATATCACATAGGAAGTTCTGTACCATTAGCTTTTCAGCACTTCAACACAATATTAACACATGCACACACACAGACAGACAGACATAGACATACATGTACATGTACACCAGTGGTGGATTGCCCCCAGTTTGGACCAGTTCACAAGAACCGGTAGTAAAACTGGCGGGAGGCCCCACCCACGCCCCGAATGTCATCATTAGCGATCTGTGCATGCGCATGCGCGCGATCCATTGTGATTGGGTGGTAAAGGTAAGTAGAACCCACCCCTGATCTACACGTACACACATACATACATACACACAAATCCCCAACTCCACCATGTATTGCACTTTGCTAGGGGAAAATTCCAAAATTATTTGCACAACTTCTGTTTATGAATATGCAAATTACTAATGCCTATTTTTTCATGTCAGGAAAAATGGACTTGTTATCAAGCTGTCCATCTGAGGAAAATGCTGTATGCTGGCTAGAGAGAACTTTTCACATATACATCCTTCTTTACAAAAAAAACAAACAAACTGGAATTTGTGATATAATAAGCTAACTAAACTGTGGCTTGTCACAATGTGCTAAAGGTGGTATTCTGTATCATGATTGGGCACATAGGCTAGCCATGTTTTCCACATGAATCTTTCATATTATTCCATACCTATGAGCAAACTATTTCTTTTCTTTGAGGATAGAGTGTGGTCAATTTATTACCCTATAAAATAGCAGAATTTTAGCACACTGTAATGTAAGTATCAATATTATTTAAATGTTTGTTTGCTCTCCAGATCTGAGATTAAATGTTTTTAATGGATATACTTTGATTGTTTATCGCTGCCGTCATCACACACACACGCGCACACGCACACGCACAAGTTTGGTAGGCAAAGTTTTGAAGATTGCTGTGCACAGTTGCAGACTATATATTGATTGTGCATTTGACAGCTTCAAGAATATTACAGGTAAGTAATCTGTTTCTTCTTTTATATTTTACCACCTCTAACTATATGTAATGTGTGTGTGAGGGAGACAAAGTTGCTTATCAAATCTACTTCAATCTATATCTGCTGAAATTTAGAAGTGTAGTTGGGCCAAAATCTACCTGCTGTAATCATAATCAGCCATCTCTGGATCCTTTTTTTTCTCTCTCTCTCTCTCTTGATTGGGTGTGGTTTGGTCTTCTTGAAAGACTACTCACATGGAATAATTGTACATGCGTGATGTATTTCACAGGTTAGCTCCTGTGGTCTTGCATGCCCTGGTTTGGAATGCGGCCATTTTAGGTTGTTGTTAGTTTAGGTACACATAACAAGTGTTTTGCGTGGCAACGTATAGAGAAAGTTGGATCCTTGGTTTCTTCTCATTCAGTCTGGCATGATAAAATCCATTGGGGTTTCTGTCCCAATATGATGTTTGTTAAAATCTTGCTATAAAGGCTGTAGTACAAGGAAGGTATGTTTTTGTCCCCAGTCCATTGTTACAAGTTTTTGTATGCTAAACACTCTGTGTTCTTCATTTTGTGATAGTGGTTAAGTGACGTGGAAGTTTGCCTTTTTGTTTGTACTCAGCGGCAAGTTAGGAAAAGGGTGGGAGAGTAATTTTATTTTTTAAAAAGTGTTACAGCCTGTCGCCTTTGGAGTTTAAAAATATTGACAGCAGTGACTGGTTTGTTTTACTCTTGTGGATTACATCGACAGGTTACATTTGCTGTAATTTATTGTACTTTGGGTTTTGTCAATGTATTATGTATATATCTTTATTGTGTTTTAATTTATTTTATGCCAGCGAACAAAATGTAAATTGAATAAGCTGATTTCCTTTTCTCTTTTTTTCCCTGAATGTATTGGGGGGAAAAGGTAAACCAAGGATGCCAAGCAGGCTTGGTTCAACGGCTAAGATTACCATTGTATTACAGTGTAATGCTATTCTAGGCCTTGTCTCAACATTAGAGCACACTTACTTGAATAAAATTGTTAAACATTAATTGCACTATGGTATTTTCATTTCGTCACAGAGTGTTCTTTAGAAACATTGAAAAATGTCCTACTACCGGGGTGGGTTCTAATTTTTTTTACTACCGGTTCTGTGGGCGTGGCTTATTTTGTGGGCGTGGTTTGATAGTCATGTGACAATTCTTTAGGATTTAGCAGAGGTACTGGTCTACCAGGCTTTTAACTGCTTACAGAGCTGTACCGGTCTACCCATTTCTTCTTGGAGCATTCCGGTCTACTCATTTGTTTTTGGAGGCACCGGTCTACCCATTTGTTTTTCGAGCGCACTGGTCTACCACCACACTGCCTTTTAACACTGATCAGCTGTAGGGCGGCCCTTTGAAGCCCCGCGTCAAGAGTTTAATCAGGTTTTTTTCCTTCCAGCTGATCAGCTGGGACTCGGGAGGCAGTGAAAAATTGGGGGCGGGGCCAAATAAAAGAATAACACGGGGATGGGGGGTGGGAGGGCCCAGCTCCCGAACAAAGAGAACCGGTTCGGTGACGTCATATCGTCACCGCTACCGGCTCGGCGGAACCGGACGGAACCCACCACTGCCTACTACATGAGTAAACCAATCATTTTCTGTCCCAAATATTACAAAATACAAACCTAAATCTGTTCAGAGAGATTTGGGCAAGATAAAGATTATATCGTTCTGATTTCTGTCAATATAGGTAATTTCTGAAAATGCTTTATTATGGTCACTAATCAGAATTCTACCAGGTAATAGAACAATTAAACAGATTGCATTTCAAATATCTTTTTAAAAAATCATAAAATTTTAACTACATCATTGAGGCAAGCAAGTCACGTTAGATTTTACAAAATAAAACACACTTTTGCCACATTCAAGGAAATGGAATCAGCCAAGTCCAACTGAAGTAGCTGTATGTAAAATAAATCACTACTGTCTAGTACATAACCAAGTAGGGAATTAAGAAGCAGGTCCTGGCATTCTCACAGCATAATCAGTAACCAATGACTGTACAACTATGTGATTGGCATTGCAACTGACCATCTTAAAAGTTACCATATTTCTATTTGGCCTTCTGGACATGTTGGGATTCTGAGTAAAAATGCAGTAGTTGAAAAGAAAATACAGTCAGATAAAAGGCAGCTGACTTTGCAGATTGTTGAGCTTCTGCAAGTTAAAGCAAATTCTGCCCCAGCTGAAGTTATCATGGCTTTCTGCAAGCTGGTCAGTCATATGTCTACCTGCTGCTGGTGTTGCAACTTTGCTGCTAAATGCTCAGCAGATAGCATAATCCCATGAGGATCGGAGGCATTCCTAGAATTCCTCTCATTGGAAGACAACCAGATAGGAGACAACCACCAAACGAGCTCTTTCTACTCAATTGTAATATTATATTAACATAACCTTACATGTCTGAAAGTTCATCTCTCCTCCAAAGTCCTTGTTTACAGCTCAGGAAACTAGGGAGGATCTCTTTTAAGCCTCTTGCCCCATCCACATTCCTGCTGGGTGCTCAGCTCCCTTTTATCTGACCATTCTCTTGGCTGTGTCTTTTTGCCCTGTCTCCCAAGGACATTCCCACATACCATTATGCTCACTTTCTGACTTCCAGACAGATTCATAGTCTGGTTTGCGCTGCCTTCTGCTTCCACTGCCATCTTCCAACATATTTAATGTGTGCTTTTTGTTACTGATTTCCTTGAATGGCGATGCTTTTAGCTACTTTAAACAGTTTACACAAAAGGGAACATGCTAATTTTCACAAACAGACGTGCAAACATTGCTCTTCAAGTACCTGTGTTTCCCCCAAAATAAGACCGGATCTTGTATTATTTTTTTGCTCTAAAAGATGCATTAGGGCTTTTTTTCTGGTTAGGTCTTATTTTGGGGGAAATACGGTAGTAAATGTGTCCATCTGGCTGACAATCTTAATGGGGGCTTATTTTTGGGGTAGGGTTTATATTAGGAGCATCCTGAAAAATCATGCTAGGGCTTATTTTCTGGTTCCCTATTTTCAGGGAAATAGGTAATATGATAGAGATATTTGTAGCCTCCCCCTCCTCAAGCCTGGTCCATCTCTTTATACTGTTCATGCTTTTTCAGGCAGCACCAAATTGTATGGGCGGAGGCATCCTTTTGAATCTGTCTAATAAATTAACAACCGCCACCAGAGGGTGCTCATAAGAATAGAGAAGCCATTTAATTCCCTGATTTAAGTCCAGTTCAATGAGCAAATAGCTGCTTCTTTGAAAAACAGAAGCGTGTAAGAATTTGTGTATAATCAGATTAAGAAAGAAATAGCTCACATTTTTTCATCTGGCAGTTTATGCTAATAAAAATATTGGTTCCCTTAATGTCATATAAAATGGTGACAAATTTAATTCTATTGAAAGAAGAGAAAAAGTGCCAACTATTTTCAAGACACTGCTTGGTTTAAGCAAAACTCTTAATTCAACCTAGTAGAGCTGTGGGGTTTTTTTTCCCTCTAACAATGCCTGTTGCAAAGGTGAACAAATAAAGATTTGTGGGCAATGCAACCTTCATAAAAAAACATATCTGAACAATCGCATACTACTGAATGTTAGTATTGTGTACCCAATACATTCAAAATTTATGTGCAATTTTATGTGCATTTTCTTAATTATGAGAGTAGAGGATATGCTGCTTTGAGGAAGATGCCCACCATTTGCAACTGCGGGGGTGGGGTGTTAAAGAAAAGGTTAGTCAATAAATTATAAGCAAAATCCTACAAAATGTTTGATATACAATTAATGGGTGTCTTTGAGATAAGACTGGGTTGCCCCACACCTGGGCTAATTAATTATGGTTGTATCTTTGGAAGTTTTTTTTTTCCCTTGTAGATGGCATACAACGTTTAACATTGAGATCACATGTTTGAGCCATAAATTAAGCTGGGGCTATAACACTACTGATTTGATCCAATGAAACCTAGAAAAGTGAAAATAGAAGCCACACAGGTGTTTTCTTCCTGGAGATCGTTCCCTGAGGATCTGGAAGACAGGTAAATCAGGAACAATCATTAAGATGTTAACACATTCCTTTTGGTGTAGGAAACAGAAGAGGCAAGCATAGGCAAGCGTACTTAAATAGATGCTCAAAGGTTGATACAATTAAAATTGATCATTAGGAAATTTAATTATGAAGTTTACTGATTTTTAAAGCACTGATAGAAAAGGAAATGAATGAATTCAAGAATTAATCCAATTATTTTAGGGGACTAGTGTAACCTTTGGAATAGTACCCAGGAATAAATTCATCATTTGGAAATTACTGACTTTTAATTAAAAAGATCCGCTTCATTCTATCTCTTCCTCTCTCTATCAACAAACACACAAACAGACAACGGGATCAGTATCATTTGTTCAATTAGAGGTTACCAACAGAGGTGAAATGTAAAATTTGTTACTACCGGTTCTGTGGGCGTGGCTTGGTGGGGGGGAGAAATGTGACTGGGTAGGCGTGGCCAACTTTTTTTTTTTTACTTTTAAAAGCATTTTTTCAGCCCAAGAGGATGTAGAAAAAATGCTTTTAAAAATTAAAAAAAAAGCCTCTGATGATTGTGCAGCTCAGCTGGGCATGGGGGGGGGAGGGATTTTTGCTACCGGTTGTCCGAACCACCACCCGCCATCGCTACCAGATCGGGCGATCCGGTCCAAACCAGGAGCATTTCACCCCTGGTTAACAACAAAAAATACAAAAATATTCCTATACAGTAATACAAAGTTTCCCATCAATCCCCAAGTGTTTGGATGAATAAATAATCTGTCTTCAGAGCTCCTTTACAGTTATTTCAATTATTTCCAGCTGAAGAATAGAAAAATCTCCTCTATGCATCACAATATGGAAAAAAGAAATGTGAAGAATGTGCCCATGTGCTGTTTTGCATTGTTTGTTTTGACAGTGAAGTGTGTTTTCTCTTGTCATGTGAGATTTATTTTCTGCTCTATTTATCTGCTTTCTGTTTTTTCTGGTTTTTAATTACGGTACATGCCACCCAGAGTGTTGGGGCAGCTGTAGGTAGGTAGGTGGAGAGCAGACAGACAGACAGACAATCAATCAATCAATCAATCATCTGGAGAGTCTTAGAGTCCCCTTAATTGGCTTAATAGTTGGCAAAAAACCTCTTAACTGTATCTCCTTTTGTTTTTTACATCTTCAAAGCCACATTATCTGCAAGAATTGGATTCCAACTAGTGTAGCTCAGCATATTTTGTATCCTGGTAAAAATCCATCCAGAGTAACTTCGATGTAATCCAAAAACAAAACACCTCTGCATGCAGTCTTATCATGGATGGGGACAAAAATAGGGGAGGGGGCTAAAACTCTTGCTCTGCTTCCTATTATCATCAGCTGGAAAGATAGAGGATGAAACTAATGTGCTAATACAAGTGACACCAAGGGAGTTATTAAATGTTTTGGATAGAAAAGATTTGCATTTTGTATTGCTCAGCTAAAAGATCTGTGTAACTCTGAAGCTTGCAATTCTAGTATGAGCCAAATGCAGCCAAGTAAGTAAAGCATGCACATCCTGTCATTTGTCAACCATTTACTGAATGAGCTGTGCACATAACCAGCCAATCTTATATTTGCTTCAGCATTAGGACCGTTGATACTTTCCTCCCTTGCTATTGAATGATCCTTTCTAAGAGCAAACATCTGGGACTTGTCTCTTGATCCACTAATACGCTTAGAAAAACATTTAGCCAGCACTATTGATTCACAACCTTGATAGATCTATAGTCCAAGTACCTTTAGCATGTCAGTGCTCCTTTGCTGCATTTCCCAAATATTCCTCTTTTTAGGAGCGCACAAATATGCTACATGGAAGTATTTTGTAATAATCTAATATTTAAAGATGTGATAATATTGTATGAACCAAATTATTTATCATCCTGCCTTCTTTAGCATGAAATTTTAAAAGTGAACATTTCGTCAAAGCTGCTGAAAATGCTTTGTTTCTGTTCTTGCCCCATAATACTATAGGACAAGTATGTCAA